GTGAGGTTCAGTATGCTTTGTAGTGCAGGAGCCTAGGGGGTTAGGGTTAGTAAGAGTATAGGAATGACATAATTAGAACCCACCCTGCAGCTGCAACCCCATGAAAAAGAAACACTTTATACTTTGCAAATACATGTAATGTCGAGAACGTCGTGTATGAACATGTACAAAACATGCACATGTGTGTACATTGCATTTACATTTCGCTGGGTGTACATATGGTATACGCGTGTATATGTACATGTACATGTACTGTACGTACTGCAAAGAACATACAGACCATACATGCACTGTACTTGTTCATAAACTGTTGTGAATGAAACAAACCATTTTCAGCAGGCAACCACCTTGTCTGTGTGTTTAATTTGCTTGAGTCGAGTTATAATCATGAATATTCTGGAAATTCATAAGTCCCATGGCCATTTATGATTACTCATCAACAGTTAAACAACAGTCAGCACCAAGTGCACACTGTTATGCATGATGCAGAAAACACTACTGCCAAAAAAGAACTGTTGACTAGTGAAAATGCTGGTGGACTAGTGAAATACTAAAAAGCCATCTCTGCTGGTCCAGTGGGCAACTTAACCGCAAGTGAGAAAAAGTTAAGGGTAAACCCTAATTAAGTTTGAAGTTTTTTACCATATGGGAGAGTACATCATACCGTATCATACATGCATGTACATGTACATCATTTACGTAGAGTGAAGCCACTCTTGAAATAGTGAACATGTACTATACCATACATTGTACTGTTTTGATTAGCAGGTTTACTGGCCAAGTTCATATTGAACTGCTCAGGAGTGCACGAACAAAGCCAGAGAATGCACACGGTAAATGCACAAAGGTGAGATTACAAAATGCATGTAAATTCCAGACTTCAAATTATCACAGTGTTGTAAAAATTCCATTTTTTATAAGGCTGAAGTACTTGAAAATTCCTCAGTCAAGTACGTTTTGCCTAAAATAACTTTTAGGGCAATGATAGTCTGGAGTTGTAAGTTTTTTTTAATCTTACATGTACATGTATCATTCATTTTCATCCAGTGTAGTGGACTACACTGTTGCATGGCACTTTTAAAAACAGTACAACAGGGCAATTTTATAAACAAATACTGCTTGATGTGAGCCTGCAAGTACAGATATTAATTGTGTTCTGTCATTAAGGACTTGGGGTCAGTGAACTATATGCCTCCTTAATCATCAATATATGCACATTATCAATGATTGTAGCACCTAATGGTACTGTGGTCATTCTTCAGAAGTCTGTCAGTAGACCAACAAGGTTGGTTGCTTATTTCTGTCCAGCTGTTGTTTACATTGGTCATCTTCATTAATTAGACAATCCTGTCTTACTACCATCTGTCTTACTACCTACACACATGGGCTTGCATTCTTTGCTCAGATGAGGAAGCATCTGAGTTCGGGTCAGTGAAAGGGCCTGACCTGACAATATTTCCTGAACTGTGAGTAATTTGATGAAGGCAGCTCTCACATTTTTATGAACCCTGCTGGTATGCATCCAGGTGCCTATAAATACTTGTCTTTAGCTTGTATTGCAGCCATTGTTCAATTTCCCAGATGCTGAGAATGGTGAAATTGGAGAAGCTCTTGGCAAAAATTGAAGGTTCGTCTTTCTTGTTAACTTTGTAAAAGTTGAATGTTCAGTACATGTACTGATATGCATACATGTTTATTGGTAAATATCATCCAACATGGCAAGGCCTGAAAAATTGGGGCTTAAACAAATTGTAAGTGAAATTTTTTGTCCATATCCAACCTAACCAGACCTATCCAGCCTTCCCATCCTAACCCTAACCACGCTGAATCCAACAAGGTTATGCAGGATTTCAATGGTCCCTAGGGGGTTAGGGTTAATTACCAAGATCTCTGCTCACTACCCCTGCCCCCTCCCTCCACACTGACAGGGCAGGGCATAAAGGCCCTCTCTGTCACTGCATTTGTCAGCAGCTCCCCACACCCCCACTGTGGCCCCGAGGGCCAGTGAAGCAGACACAGGGTCAACAGAGGCCAGAACACTCCCCAAAAAGTGGATGTGCCCATCACACACCCAGCGTGACACTCGATGGGCCTACTGGTACATGTACATGTACATAACCATACCAGGGTCCATTACAACCATTCTTTTTGCTGATGAAGTGTCATAACCCGGCACATGCATTGATGTACATGTATACTGTGCCCTCCCTGAAGCATTGTTCGAACTGGAATTGTTTGCCAAAATCCCATAGACCATGGTTACTTTTTTTTTCCACTTTAACTTAATTTAAACACTAGAAATATCCTCGGAAATTGCCCCCTCAGTTACTTTTTTCCTGAGTCTGTTGGTCACTTTCGACCACCAGACCTCTAAAGACTAGCGTGGTTCAACTTATTCAGACTTGTTTGCCAATATGTCTTCAGATTTTCTCAACCACTTTCTACTCTTGTTGTCAGCCACTGTGAAGATGTGTATTACCGATAGTTTGCAGTACCGGTACACATACATGTGTATTATTGTTTTTGCACACACCAAATGTGTAATATTATAGTTGGAAGGACAAGGAGAGGAGGGTAACCCCAGTGAGACCACAGACCTGCTGTTTGTCACTGAACATACATGTACATGTACATTGTACCACCTGTTACTCGTTTTGTTTGTATACTTGCAATTATAACTGGAGATGCTGTGTGCTGTATGATAACAATTTTGAAGCCCTTTGGCTTACTCTGAGCCTCATGCTGTTAACTACAAGCTGAGCTCAAATGAAAAACGAAAACAGTTTTATTAATACTAACATCACATGATTGGCAAGCTGCTAATCAAGAATTTGCATTTGGTTTTAATACTAAGATGAAAGGTGCAGTAAGGTTACATGTCAAACGTTACTGCTACCGTCCTTGATTTGTAACACACATGTACCACCTTTTCATAGGCAGACGTACAGTTTTGAGGATTACATGTAGCCATGAATCAGTTCATGTGTATACTGTTTGGTTGTCATAATACATGTACATTGTACATGTATATGTACATGTAGGTAATGTGAACATACCGATGTGGTATATGGATCGCTTCATTCACAGTCACTTGAACTGACACTGACCTGGCCTGTACCCAAACCTGGAACACTTAGCCAATCCAAACACAGCCCACCTCACCTGTTGGCACTTTCTTGGTCCTGATGAGGAGCACTTAGAAATTTGCATACCGTTCCGGTACTTTGCTGAGGTTTGCTCTGCCAGCATTTGTGATTTTTTTCCAGCCAAAAAAAAATTATAATGTGTAGTTGAAAACAGTTTCTGTATGGGGGGTTCTGTTTTTGCTTTTTTAGTATTTTCAGATTTGGACAAACCATAACATCACATGTCTACCCTAGTATGTTCTGACCAATCACACAACTTCCTCTTGCAAAGGGATTGCAAAGGGATTTTGGCATGGCAAGGCATGTTTTTCTTAAGTGTCAGAGCGTATGGCGCAAAAACCATAGACTGAAGTATTCGGTTTTCAAGAATATGATTGGCGTGCAAAAAAGTGAATGGTACATAAGGGTACATGTACAGTACATCACACACATACCGGTACATGTACATGTATGTGCATGGACTGTATCTACAGTACCCAATGCCGTGCATTCTAAGCCTCATTTCTGCCGATGTGATAAGAAATTCCTTGCTACCGGCATGAGATACATACATGTTCATGTATGCATTGTTACAGTTGACAAAAGCTGTGGCATTTTGCCCTGGCTGTAACTTCTTGTCAGACCACTATTTTTATATAATTGTAATGTATAATTGCACCATACATAGGTACCAACGGAGTGTACAATGTACATGTACACTGTATATTATCCACTTGTCACTGCTTCACACTTAGGTAATTGAAATTACAAGAATAACAGTGTTCGTGCAGGTATTGTCAATCCTAAACAAGTTATTAAAATGATGTGGATGTGGCCACGCATGGTTAATTGCCTTTTGATTTTATAGCCTTTCTGTTATTGTTACTGCTGACTCATTCTTTAATAAAGACTAAGTACCTGAACAGTGGTGGTGTTTATTTTGCCAAACTCATTTGGTGATCTGATGTATAGTGCCATAAGTGGCAATACTGTGGCTACCCTGTCAGAAATATTTGTCGTTAACGACTAACTGCATGACTCAGCTGCCATCCAATAGGACTAGAGACAAACACATCTGAGTTTATTTGTTGTGAAATGAAACACAATTTGTTATTTTTGCCTTCATACCGGTATCTGTTTGTCTGAGAAATGAAATACCGGCAGAAGAAAGATGCCATTAGTTTTTCAATGCCACACAGGTTTATTACGTGATGGTTTAAAAAAACAAGTTTAGCACCATGCCTTAGGGTTATGATATTGGTCAGACAACATGACGCCATATGTGTTTGTATTAAAGCCACAGGTTTTTCAGTTCATCGATACTACCATCACAGTTACTCCACATAATCTTTTAGTATTCTGGGCAGAGATTTGAGCGAATTGAAAGTAAGTCATGAGATTGTCATCCCCCAGGCTAAAAGCACTGATTTGCTTATCATTTGACAAAGTGGCTGAGACCTTTACTGAACATAATGCTTGTACATGTAGCTCATGTATGGTACATGTAGGTACAGTACACAAACATACACAAATGCACATTACACTGCTGAGTACATGTAAGGTGAGCTCCTGTATGGTACATGTAGTTGTGAAACCGTCAAGTTTCTTGGAGTAAATGACTGCTTTTTCCAGAGAGTAAATTTGTTACAAGGGATTGGGGATCAACAACACATGCTAGCCAGGTACTGGTATGCAGTGGAGTCTGTCGTCCATGATGTATTTTCCTATGATGTGATCTGTTATTGAGATTATGTTGAATCTGTTTTCACAGTTACCTGAGACATGAACATTACCAGTCGTGAACCTTGTTTTTTACTCTCTGTGCTGTCAAGTGTGCTTGACTTTGATAGGGGAACATGTCATTGAAGCTTTTTTCTCTATTCCATATTTATACTTGTTTAATGTGGAAGGGTTCATTCCTTTTTTTCTTAACTCTGTGTACTTTGGCATAAGAGTCACATAGAAATGGAATCAATGCAAGGAACATTTTCTCTCTGTTTGCAGGCTTGATTTCTCCAGAGACAGCTGCTGAACTCCCCTTCCTGAGCCCTTGCCCCCACATATCATGGAAACATGCGCTCCCGGAGTCAGGCACAGTACATACTACAACTTCGCCAGGAGTGGCCTGGGTCCCGTGCAGCATTACAAGTCCGCCTCGGACGGCGACTCCCCGGACGCTTCCATGCCCATGGGCAGTCTGGCCAGTCCACTCGTTGACAGCGGATACCGGGAGGGCAGCGTAACCTACAACCACGAGGAGCTGGTCTCTGGGGGCTACAGCTGGGGTGAGGGGCCGGTCAGCACAGGACCTCCGACAATTACCCCAGTGAGCGGCCAACTTGAAAAGGTACCAGTACATGCATGAAATGCTTGCCTGTCCAACAGATTACCAGTTTAGATAAATTGTTTATATCATAGCATAGTTCTTCTCAACTTTAAATTACCAAACAGTCATGCACTGTTTATTTTTGTAACGCTGGTTTCCAGCTGATGTTTTTTTAGCAGGCAAATTGGCTAAGGTTTACTGTTTGTTGTCTTCTTCCTTTTAATCGGGGTACATGTATACCAGTATGTACGCTAGCTTTTAAAACTGATCCGTGGATTCATTTCTATGCACCAGACAAAACTTCGACTAAAAGTCCATTCATATAGCACTAAAAATCCTGAATCTTCCAATGTCTGTGTAATTTTTTGTACAACCTAAGGGCCAGCATCAAAGAAAACACACAAAACACTGTATTGCTCAAAATATGTGAAATTGCCCCGTCATGTAGTTTACACACGTATGTCCCAAAAACTGTTATATAGCAGGGCTATAGTTGAGTCCGCCATAAATCTATCATAGCTAAATTATCCTTAAGCTAGGCCACAAGTCATTCATATTTACTATGACTAAAGCATTTCTTTGCCATTGTTCATTCTTTTTATTACTACTTGTATGTAACTGGTCATGTGAAAGGCCTTGTGGCTGGACTCACCATGATGCTTGTCAGGAATTCAACCATGTCACTGTGGGAAGGTACATGTACTTGAAACTCAAGGCAAGGCCCAAGTCAACTGTCTTTTCTTCTTTCCTGGGTTTTTTTCACCAGTTCAAGCAGCATTGTATGATCCGTCCAGTCCCCCTGAAGGCAGCATCCCCATCCCGCTCCTTAGACTCCCCCTGCAGCACCTCATCCCGGCGCAGCCTCCCCGGCTCGCCAGCCAGCATGCCAGACCCCCACCCCAGTGATCGTCCCCATCAGCAGCAGCCGATGCAGCAGCAACAAAAGCAGCAACAGCCCCCAGACGTCGTGCTGACCAACCACCCGCAGCAGCAGCACAGCTTTGCTGGCAATCACTTCAGTGGGTTGCCAACGAAATGTCTGTCCCTGCAGGACATTACGCCCAAGCAGAAGAACTACCATGACAACGGACCACGTGGTCCTTCATACGGGGACACCAAGGTACTGGCAATATTCTTACCTCATTTCATTTTTGTGTGTCTGAAAGGTATAGTACATGTACTATCCATCTATCATTTCCAGATGTCCAGCACTTGGAATTGACAACAAAATGCAAATAATTACCAACTTTGGCCATTAATACTCAACCTTTGACAAGAAAAAAATTGTATCTAACACTGCAGAGAAAGCAAGCAGCTTTGAAGATGTGCCTTAAGCTGAAACTTTGGCTGCTGTTTGAAATTGCTAATTAAAGCCTTTCATAGTAAAAGTTTGAAGTCCTGATGTGGACTCCTGATATATGGTCTGATTGGGCTCCAGGCCACTTCCTCAGGCAAGCATTTCCCAGAATTATTTTTTCCCTGAATTATTCATGAAAGAAGTTTTTGTAATCTTCTGTCAAGTTGGTCACATTTCTGCGGTGCTTGCATTACAGTAAAAATGTCAGTCATCATAAGAAAACTATTCTTGTTTTTAGTGTTTTATAAACCTACAAAGATCATCCCCAGCTCAGCCTCACATTCAATTCAAAATTATTTCAGACCCACATAAATGTCGTTTCATGCAACCTGAAACCATTTGGATTTCCTAAGCCCCATACCATATGCAACAAAATCCAAAAATGGCAATTTTTGGTCCCAGCTTAATTCTGCAGGATTCAAAGCAGTGTTTTTTCATACATGTACAGAACTCAATATTCTCTCTTCCTGCTTTGAGCAAAACAAAACCTCTCTGAATCTTTCCACTGAGACATTGTTCGTATTAAAGTTTAGGATCACAGGTTCTTAATTTTTTTAAATAGATACTAATCCACAGTCTTAATTTCTTGTTGGAATGGAATGTTTAGGCATGGGGCAAGCAGCCAGCCCAACCCAGGCGCCTCCAGCCGGCGCATTCCCTGAACTACCTCAACCGCACCGCCCAGAACCTCCAAAACCATAAGCTGCTGCCAGACTATAAGCGGTGCCACATCAGCCAGTCCAGCAGCCAGGTCGACAATCGCAGCCGCAATGGGAGCAGCGGCAACAGCGGCAAGAAGCCTGTCCGCGTCAGTCACGTCAACCCATCTTACGGCCACGTGATGGATTACAACAGCAACCGGGTGGACAGGAAGTCATCAGCTTCATCCTCATCCCATGTGTCTTTGGTCGTGGAGGAGACAGAGATGGATGAGATTGCTGCGCTCAGGCAGAAAGTGCTGGTAAGTCAAGTCCATTTTTCTCCCCTCTCCACAATCTTACATCTCGGAAGTACATGTAGATCTAATTGTTTGTGATCATTGCCTTTCTCCTTCTTCCAAGAGATGCACGACCTTCATCAATTTGAAGACTCAGGCACATTGAAATGAGAAGCAGTTACAGTTTTAAAGGTGGGAGGAAAACTCCGGAGGAAATATTATGGGTAAAACCCACAGAATTAAGTAGGGACTGAAAACCCAACCCTCATGTGGACTGAGCCGGGATTCGAACCCGGACCGCAGAGGTGGAAGGCAAGGAAAGAACCACTACACCAACCGTATTCCCCAAAGAATTAGCAACATGCCTTCAGTTTGAGTTCACTCAAACAGGACTGGTGCATCTAGCCCAATCAAGCTTGCTTAACCTGAACTCCTTGGTCCAGTGTCCCTCAAGGTCTTCCTAACTTTGTTGTCTTGATTGTTTATTCAATATGCCATTTAACTTGCCAAATATTAGGACTGGACTCAGGACATAGATTTATGAAAGCAGTTTCTTCACTAGAGTTATTGTGTGATGCCTGGAAAGTAATGCTTGAGAATTTGATTAACGGGAAATCATTACGCCCCCTGTGCCCGTAACAGGAGAAGGAAGCACAGCTGACCACACTGCGGGACACCATGGACAACAACGAGGCAGCCATTTTGAAAGTTCATGAGGAGAAACACAGAGTGTGGAACGAGGAGACGTCGTGGCTGCGGAAGGAGCTCCAGGAACAAGAGGATACCTCCAGGAAGATTCGTCACTCACTGCAAGCGCAGGTAAGGCCAATCCTTCAAAAAAAAAAACCACTTTAACCCAACTCCAATGTGTACTCTCCCTGCTCAGTTTCTCTCCAAAATCAGATTCCATGTTAAAAAAATTAATAAATTTACAAGATTTTTACAACTAGCTACTTTGGTCTCCTGTACAGATTTACAAGCTTGAACAGGAGAAGAAATCTCTGCGGGAGAAAACTGATGCCTCTCAGCATCCACCCAGTAAGGAGGTGGAAGACCTGAAATGGCAGCTCAGGAATCTCAAGGAGCAGTTGAGCCTCAAGGCCCAGGAGATCTCCAACCTGAGAAACAAGCTCACCTACCAAGAGCAGCGGCTGAGCCAGCGGACCAAGGCCGTAGCCTCGCTGGAGGCAGAGCTGGAGAGACTCAAGCAGGAGAGACAGACTACGGAAGAGACTCCAGAAGCCTGCAAGAGGCTCCTGAAACAGAAGGAGGCGGAGCTTGGTGAGGCCCGGGTGGAGACCAACCACTTGAGGGATCTCAAGGAGAACCTGGCCCAGGAGGTCAAGCTCCAGGAGGAGGAGCTGGCCCTGCTGAGGACAAAGGTCAGCAGCAAGGATAAAGAGCTGAGTCAAGAGAGGTGTGAGGTGGCATACCTGAGAGAGGTCCAGGAGAAACTCAACCAGCAGCTGCAGAAGAAGGCCAAATCAGGAGGAGGCCTGCTGCCAGGAAAAGGCAATCCTACGAGCAATGCGAACAGCTTGAAGGAAAAGCTGGCTCAGCGGGAGAAAGAAATTGCTCAGGTGAAGGAGCAGCTCAGGAGGGTACAAGAGGATAAGGACCAAGAGGTTACGAAGCTCCGACAAAACCTTAAGGAGAGGAGCAGTGAGATTGAGAAGCTGCAGAAAAAGCTGAGCGAAGCAGAGAAGGACCGCAGCATGCTCAGGAACAAGCTGTCCAGTGGGAAAGCTGGGGGCGGCAACAAGATGACGCCCTTGCAGCGGCAGCTGGAGAGTGACTTCATGGACTTGCAGGTTAAGCTGACCACACGGGAGCGGGAGGTGTTCCAGCTGAAGAGGGAGCTGGTGCTCCTCCAGGAGAAGAGTGACAGCAATGCGCACAACTTGAAAGTGCATCTCAAAGAGCAGGAGCAGGAGCAGCAGGTCCTCCAGGACAGGTTGCGCCAGCGGGAGACAGAGATTGGCTTCCTCATGGACAAAGTGAAATCACGGGAGTCTGAAATTGCTTCACTGAGGGAGGAACTGGAAAAATCTGAGCCTCGTTGCCGGGCTAGAGACTCTGAAGACACCCAGCGGAGGGCAGATGAGTGGGAGAGAGAAGTGGCCATGCTGAAGAGCGAGTGCACAGAGCTACACACTCAAGTCTCAGACCTGAGAGAGGAAAGTGCAATGTACAAGGAGAAACTGGACAAGATCAGCAAGGGGGTCCGCAGCCTGAGCACCAGCCAGTCCAATCTGATCAACCTGGGCAAGACAGGCAAGCTTCCCCAAGGAGCTACCGCCACCAATTCAGGGCCCCCTGGGACCACAGTTGAGGATTCTGGACTCCAAGAGGAGGTGGGGTCCCTGCGGGAGCAGCTGGCAGATACCAGGAAGCGGCTGCAGGGCCAGGAGGCAGCCTTCGGGCGGGAGCGGCGGGTCTGGCAGGAGGAAAAGGAGAAGGTGATCAAGTATCAGAAGCAGCTGCAGCTGAATTATGTGCAGATGTGCCGCCGCAATCGCAGCCTGGAGAGCGAGTTACAGCAGCTGACCATGGAATTAGAACACAAGGAGATCAGCCACTGCTGAGAAAGAACAAATCATGTCACACAGAGCTCCTTCAATCCATTTGCAGCCAACTGAGCTATCAGTGCAGAAGTTATCAGGTCTGGTTGTATGTTTCGGACTGCTGGGTAAAACCCAAATCTGCCTTTTATCCACCAGAATCAAACACTGTTTTTGTACACAATTATTCATGGATTTATCTCCATGTATATGACTATTTAGAGCCCAGTTACAGTGCTTGATCTAAATGTACATGTAGGGGCTACATACAAAAGTGTTATATAATTATTTACCCAGAAATATCCCTAGTGAACAGTCCTCAGAGTTCAACGGATTAAAGTTGGAACGGATGCTTCTGAGATGCTTACTTGAAATTTGGATAAAAAATTTTTGTGGATTGCCTTGAGGCTGAGTGAGCCATGAATGTTTTGCTCTGAAATTTTGTACAAGAAAACTGTATTGTGTGGTTGGAAGATTGTTGTTATGCCAAGTGACTTTTTTAATGTTACTACCGGTATATAAAAAGGTTCTGATATCAGAATCATCTACATGTACAACAGTACACTTTATCTTTGGCAGTATCTATTTGTTTATGAAATTGTGAATGCTGCCCATGATATGTGGTGAACATAGGAACAAATATGTAATTGAAAAAGTGGATGGAGAAATCTATTTCTGAATTGCATCTATATGTACATGTTACTGCTGTGTTTTGGGCTTTAAAAATGCCAATGAGGAATGAACATGGTCATTCTGCCTTCAGTGGCAAGCGTACATTCTGCATGCACATGTTTACATACATGTACATATACTGTATGTGCGTGTGTACACAACCTACATGTACAGTACATGTACATGTATGCCCCATACTGCTTTTTGATGTCTGGAAAAGCACTTGAGCTGGGGTCAGAACACAGCACAAAAACAGAAGCACTACAAGTGTTGGGTCAGCAGAGTTCAGGGCTATTAACAATCACCACATTTTCACCTAATCCCCCAACTAAATTGTGCTCCCTGAAAACACCCCCTTGACATTGAATTCACAGGGGTTGTAGTTTACAATGGCAGCTCTTGTGCATTGCATTTGCCATAACCACAAAAAAGAGCTGCAGGGTCATTGAAAGGGATTTATTGTCCAGTGTAGTCTCCATCTCAAGCCTGGAGGGGAAAACAAGGAAACCCTTGTCTTGGATTTATTCGTTTCATGGGTTTTTTCTCTCCAGGTCCTGTTGACAATGGATTAAAATATGGGTATGGGGAGCCTAATGGAACAAAATCAGCGATGAGGAAGTACTTATATGTGTACCGTAAAATGGTGAAAAGATTTGAAACAAGTATTTGATCAGTAGCCTACTTTTATTTATAATTTTGCAGGAAGAAGTAATTGGAATGTGTTTACAATGACAAAAGCTATGGAATTTATTGCAGACCAATTTATCTTCAGTGTTAAACTGTTTACATATACTGGTATATTCATTACTCAAGCCTTGAAAATCTGACAAAATGGGACAAACTTAACCAATTGTATAGTTGGATCTTCACTTAGCTGAACTGGGTGATAAATTATCATTACTTGGTTATGGGAAAACCATGCAAAGGTGTGGGAATCTGTGGTGAGTGATCCAGTCTCACTACCACACAACCCCCTCTCCCCCACCAGGGCAGCCTAAATTTAACAGGTTTCATTTTAATTGAATATCCTCCAGGTATGTATTCCATTCTGACTTCCAAAGTCATTCCCCGGGCTTGTTTATCTTTGTACATAATCCGACTCATTGTTTATTTCCAGGCCAGGGATTTTTTAAAAATTTTTTTATTGCATTTGTTTATGGTTGCCCAGACAGCAACAAAGAGAGCCCTTGTGTGTTCCTCACTTCGTAGGATTTCAGCCTTTCCTTGATAGTCCCGTCAGGGTGGTTATCAGTAAAACAGGAAAAATATCTTTTTTTGTATACATGTTATTGAAAGGTTGACTGTGAAATGTGCAACCCAACTTACATGTATGCTTTTGTACATAGATCACTAGCTGAAATTGTGGGAAGTGACATTTGAATGGAATTGTGAAGAGTTGACTATTAACCCAAAAATTGAATAATGTGCAAAGCTGATAGCAAAGCCGATAAAAAATCCTTCCATGGGAAACCTTGACAATACTGCCATACCTCAAGTCCCTCTGGACCTCTCCTGGACCATGACCCGGTGCTCCAAATGAGCCACTTTACTAGATTTGTTGGGATTGCTGAAGCGAGGGGGCCAGTTTGTGATTCAGAGCTTTGATTTCTTGTAGCAGGCCTGGTTTCTGTTTACCCTGGGTTATCTGATCACCAGGGTTTCAACCCCATTAGCGTGGGTGGGAAGACTAGGGGTTGTTCGAGGGAACAGGAGCTGATTGTTTCCGTCTGTTTCCCAAAGTGGTTTCTGTTTCGCAACATCACAGCGGTTCCCACACAACAGAGTGATTTATTCATGAACTTCTGCTCTGGATTTGAAATTGATTCTGTAATTAGTCTGTATACATTACACATCCGTGAGTGCATTATGATCTTTATTTTTGTCTGCTTGTACAATGCCACTCAGATGTGCAACATGGTAGAGTTTGGAAAATGACCAAGCTGAATGCCGTTTTTCCCACATGACCCACATGAAAGGGGCAACTCAGAGAAGGCATGATTGCTACAAATTCATTAATCCAGGATGGTCAGTTTTTTCTGATTCCCTATATTATACCCTAATGGACGGTGCTGCATGTAATACATTAGACTTATAACTCGGACTCGCCACTGAATGCTTCCTATTCGTTTGTTCCCGTGGTACATATATGTACATGTGTCTTGTTTGTATTACATTTTCTCATTGATATTGAGAATGAGAATTCAAAAGGGACAGGGAAGCACCTAATATTCATCAGGATTTTATTATGTCTTAGGGTTTTCCACTAAGAATTCTGTTTTTTCTGATTCTACATGTACAAATAGAAGTTGTGGAGTCCACAACTTTGCAGGTGTGCACAGTATGTCTAATCAGTTCCAATTTCAACAACTCAAGTCAGAGCACGTGCAGAATCACAGCATTTGTCATTGTTTGCAGTTTTTTTATAAACATCATATTAAGACAGATTTGATCAACTCATAGGAATGCTGGCCTTAGTCTCATCTCTAAGGGTCTCGTTCCTGGTCTTGGTTCTTTCATCAACTCCACAGGACAACTCAGGATGTAGACTAGCTCCCTTGGACATTGTACATGTAGTTCAGGAAGACTGCCTCCACAATTCATTTTAGTCTCCTTAGCGTGAATAATGGGCTTAGAAACCTCCACTGATGCAGTCAAGATCAGGGAAGTGTAGCATTAGAATAGTTAAGTATCAGGATCAGGGAAGTGTAGCATTAGAATAGTTAAGTGCTTCTTTTTATGGTCCTTTTATTTTTCAAGCAACTCAATGGGATTTCAGCCTTAGTTCAACACGAAGGTGGTCAGATCACATCCTTGCTGTTCTTTCATCAACTCTGCTTGACAACTCACCATTGTAGACAGGTAGTGATTCTGCCCTGCTGTGAATAAAAAACCCACTCCCTCAGCAGTGGACAATTCTAGTTGGGCTAGTTTACACCTCCAATGTACCAGAACTTCACTTATTGAAAACTCAAGTCTAAATAAAATCACTTAACTTTTGTTCCCACGTCCACTGTAGACAAGGTAGAAAAAACCAAATTAGACTAGACCATAAGGACTGAACCAGTAACATTTGGTTCAGTTCAGATCTTATGTTGTAACAAGGTTTATATTTTATTTTTGGTTTAACTAGGGAACAACTCATTATTGTAGGGTAATAGTTTGCTCTGTGGTACAGCTCAAATAAGGTCACAACTCACCCCATACTTTAACCAACTCAATCCGCAAATTAGATCACCTTTCTCTTTTTTCCTTTTTTTTCTAAACCATGGGTTTTCTTTAACTCAGAGTTGGTCAGCAGCATGCACGCAGGTGGTGGTCCTCAACTTTCTTTGGTACTTTTTATGCCTGCTGTATTTAGCTTAGGGATATACATGTACATGTAAGTACCACATGCATGTTGTTAGATGAAAACAACTACACGGAAAATGGCTTAACTCGTTTACTTTAGGTTAATTTGTTTCATGAGATTTATAATAAATTGAAGAATGCCTGTGCTTTTGAACAAGAAGTATATAGCTTAAGATTGATGCCCTACTTTATTGATACAAGTCTTGCAGAATGTCATCTAAACCTGATGAATATTGGGATTTTTCTATCAGAAAAGCCTTGCTCCCTGTCCCTTTTGCAATAGAAATTGTAATGTGACAAAACAAGCACCAGGTTGTGTCTCACACAGCAGATTAAGAGGTTATTGGCATGGTCAAGGTTAATACCCTTGATTACAGTATGTGTTTCAAGCTTTTTGTGTGTTTTTGGACGTGTACAATGTACATGTACCTGGTTGAACCGCAAACTGAAGCGAGTTTTGGGAAGATTCCCGACTATTTCAAAAGATGTACTACATTTTAAGAGGTGGTCTAGTTGGTTGTTTCAGCAGATTGTGTTGATAGAATTTGAGATTTTCTTTACAGATTTTTGAGAGGTATTAGACAACTCTTGGATGTGACCATCATTTATAACTGAGTTGCTGTTGACTATCCAATTAGTCCATTAGTGGGTTGATTACTGAGAAAGCAGAAATTGTGACCTTTCCTGGAACATTCAAACAAAAATACAGCTCAGTTGGTCATTAGTTCTGAGTTGTCATACATTCAAAAAGTAAATATGCTGTATTTTGTTTTAATTGCTTTAAAAATACATTGTAGCTGATTTTTATGACTGAAAAAAAGTCACCAAAGATGACAGGAAGTTTTATGGTCCTTTTCGTTGTATAATTTGTAAAAAAGAAAAGTAAAATTGAAGTAAGGTTGTGTTTGATTTTTCATCTGGGGCTTGGGACACATTTTGAAATTTAGATTTTATGTCTGGAAGTTACTGATACAATTCTTTTAACCCTAAAAGAGCTGGGTTATTTCGGCCCATGGGGGGGGGGGGATTCCACCCCCTAAGAACTTGGCTGTGCCTCACTCTGGCTTTGAAACTTTGCATGCATCTAAAGACACTCCTTATCATTAAAAATGGCATGAGGTATAATTTTGTTGATACAGTCATTTGAAGTTCAAGGCTACATGCATATCAACCAACGTGCATTGAGCACCAAAGTGGTATAAGTATACAGAAGAAAGACTCCAGAAAAATGCACACTGTGCAAGAACGGTACGTCCGATTTTCACAATAGTGGTGTCAAAATGACTGCACAAAGGTACTGTAAAAACTCCTAAAGGTGCACCTGCACTGCAGCATTATCAGGAAAAATGGGGGCGGCAGAGTCTGCCACGCCCCCGGGCTCTTTTAGGGTTAAATTGAAAAATTATGGCAGTTTAAAATGTGTCCAATAATTGGTGAAAGGCTGTATAGTTTTCATGTATGCAGGACATTTCTGAAATTGCATACAAAAATTAATTGCATAAAAACTCCTTTTTGTATTCACAGACTGTTTGAAACCATTGGTGCTAAATGTATTATGAAAAGGGTCACCAGATTACGAGGATTGATTTTGAGAGGAGAATCAGAATATGTTTGAAAATTTAGGATTGTTGGACCTCAACCACTGTATTACTGTGTTATTAGTAATTTGTACATAGTTAAAGTTTTTAATATTAAACGTCGTCTGTGAATGCCAAGTTCTTTATATGGAAAGATGAAACCTTGATGTGACAGAATCATTTGTCTCTATTGATGTCATGAATAATTTCCTAATCAGCATTGGAATGCATGGTGAATCAGTGGTGGCATATTGCTTTTGCTACCCTGGCTGTCTTAGCCAAATGTATGGATGAACCTACGGGGGGGGATATTTGTGACCTTAAGCAAGGCACATGACTGCAGTTGCTTGTCTCACTTGGTACATGTAGCAGTGTGTGACTTGGCAACAAGAGCTGGTAACGGCTACTGGTAGTAGTGCTCTAGTTGTCTAATATACATGTTTTGGTGCCACCTGTGTTTCCCATGCAGTTTGAAGTCCAAAAGTGTAATTGCAAATGTTATTATTTGAGCAGGCATTCAATTGTCCCTTGGCAAGCTGGCTTCCTCATTTTTTGTAATGTCTTGTTAGCTTGACCAGCTGAAAACCAAAGCCATTTCTGTGGTGTCCGAGTACCAGTTAGTTAGTTAGACAGGCAAATTCATCACTTTGGCTTCCAAACTGGCTGGATTTTTGCCAATTTGGCTCCTTGAGAATCAAATGTTGTGCTTGGAATCTCACATTGCTTTCTAACTGAGGCCGTGTCCGAAACGGGCTTCCAGAGCTACAGCTAGGTCAATTCTCTGCGCATCTCCACGCATTTCCAATGGAGTGAAGACCTAGACCTAGCTCTAGACAAGAGATTCGGATGCAGCCTAAGCATTCACACAGAATTGTCACTTTTTAACAGCTCAGGTTTTTAATACTAAGGAATGCTCCATGTTGTTCACGTCTGTTGTCAAATGTGTAGCTGGTGTCCTTAAAATTTAATAGCTGTTCATAACTGCAGCATATTTTCTTGTTGAAAAAGTATGTTTTATTCCTGATATATCCAAGAACACCGAAAGGAATTTATGTATCATACTAAGAAATCACTGTAAATGTATATCACACATTCATTGTACTTGTTCTACTGATGTGGATAGTTTATCAAAAAGTGATAGTTGATTACGTTTAAGATGTTGTTACATGTTAGCAGAAAGTTAATGCCAGTTTTTCAGTGTTTCCTCAATCTCAAGAAGTTCAGCTTTTGTCCTCATCAGAAAGATGGATTTTGTTTGCATCTTTTAATATTCCAATTTTTATGCTGTACATTCCATACAGATTATATGCTCAACATTAAGGGGAATGGAAGCTTTTCTTCCAATTGATTTTAATCATCTCATTCTTGGAATGATGGGATTCCAAACCCATTGTTGTTTTCAAATCAAGTATGTGAGTGGGCTCTCCACCACTGTAAAAACAACTGGCCAAACTGTAGAAAAAAAACATATGCTTCCATTTGGATCTTAGAAGTTGAAATAAAAAACAGGTATTTTCATGATATGTGTATTTTAAAGATTAGTGATTGGTCCTGCAAGCAACGAGTCAATATATCGTCAATAGGAATCTCGGGTCGTGGATTCAAGACAACAGTGGCCTGCTTGATGTCTGGTTTGTTCTATGGATCATCCAGCATCCTTGCAGTTTTTCTATGGGATTGAGGTCGAGACCATTTTGGTTAAAGACACATTTTCATATGTGTATCTCATGAAATACCTGGGGCATAATGTTTGGGATTCATCTCAGCATAGCATAGGAAAAATTAGTTAACAGACACAGATATATATCCAACATCTGAAAAGGCATCCTGACAACACTATGTACACCTAAAACATTTTCTTGGAATTTGAATTTAAAAAAAGAAGATTACACATACAGTACTTTGAAAATTAATAAGAATACGTGCGATTTACGATAGTGCGCCACCAAGAGTTTGCAACACGTTGGCCAATCATAACGCACGAAATTTGTTGACCCTTTCCAAACGTGCATTGGGTCGACAATTTCACACATATTATACTGTACATAAAAACATTCGAACACAATCTGACTACAATTAAAGAACAGCATTTCTGAATACCAAATACTTTCATGAAAGAACTAGGTCAGTGAAAGACTGCCAGGCTTGATAAGAAAGTGTTAAGACATCCCGAGTACAAAAATACTATGAGAAAATACCACACACAAGTATCATACGGCAAACCTTGTAAAAACTTCAGTTTAGATATCTATACATGTATTTATATATTTCAAATAGTTTTTCCAAGTTGTATACAAAGGCATTTAAGAATTGAGCCATCATAGTAATGCTACTGTGGTAAAGAATACCAAAATGTAGAAACGGGAACAAGTATATTTTTCTTCAAAAATTTCATCATTGGAAAATAGCCATATTTGAAAGATTTGGCTAAACTGCTCCATAAAACTCTTGATGGAAATGCAGCTATAAATTTTCCTCTGTGCCTTCAAAACCCCAATTTTACCAAAGAATGTAAACTTGCAGCGTGCACTTTGCCAAAAAGAATTCTGTAGAATAAATTATTCATGTTATAACAAATGAAAGCAACAATCATCCCATTTCTAGAGTCAATGTAAAGACAAAATCTTAAAGAGATGCCATGACTGAGGTGGCATTACAGTCATGCATGTCACTAATATTCTTTATAATCATGAGACTCAGATGTATTACAGCAAGTTGTATAACCCTATCCACCCTGAGCTGAAGTGCACCCTCACCAGCGAAAGAACAGCAGCTGGTACCAAGTTTTCCAACCGGGTACTAGCATGTGTTTTGTGTGCTTGCAAAGACAATATGTTCCCAACTACATTTGTTGCGCATACTCAGCATGCTCCACGTCAAACGAGCATAAACTTGCACACCTATACAGTGAATGCATACCAAATGACTGTCAATTTCATTTCTAAACACGCCCTCTTTTGTTCCTGATTGGCCTTATTCATATTTCTGCCATCTTGAATTGAATATGAGATCTCTATAAATTTTCCCCCCCAAAAATTAATATGCACGGGGACAAAGATAATTCAACTGGGACAAATTATAAGATACCATCCTTGTGCTCTAATGGGTAGTTAAAAAGTGGATAAGAAGTAAGGTCACCTTATTTTTTTCACAGAAAAACATTTTTCAAAGTGAGGTTTCACCTGTAATCACAGCAAAATAGACTTCCCCATTTCAGAGCGCTCAACAGACTGGTAATATGGTGACGTCACACTTTGCTACATGTGCACTTCCCTACGGCAGTGAGGTGGGACTTATCCATCAAGCTCCTATAAGAAAGTGCACGTCGACAAAGCATGACATCATTTTTAGGTCTATAAATGAAATGGATTCGGGGAGCACTTTCCAAAATGTCCATCGCATGAATGAAGCTTATTGGTCAGAGGAATTTAATGTGTATACAGTCAAGAATGGTACCACTTCTTCAAATTCTGCTTTCTAGATTTTGTTACAGAAGGAAAAATTAACACCAGTTGCAAACAAAAAAAAAACTACTTAAAATTAAGCAGCATAATTCTTTGGTCATGTACTACACGTATATATCATTAATAACTCCTAATTCCATATGAACCACTCTAGTACTAGTATTAATATACCCACATCATGGTGTATACAGCTTAACATCACTCACTGCAAGAAATCCGGAAAACAATGGGGCTCCATGCTACAGCTGTGAAACCACAGAATTCTGCCCTTGGGCATTATGTAAAATACAGTGCTAGTACAGAAATTCTATGCTTGGTCAGCAAGGAATCTTGCTGTGGGTTTTGCGCATGCTGGCAACCCATTTTTTTTCTTTGGAGTGTGCCGTCTCTAGTGCATGCAGACTTTGCAATAATCTCAAGACTGCCTCACCCGGACTTGCTCCTGCTGTGATAGACTTGCTTGGTGTCTGAGGTTTACATGTAAAGACTCTTTATTCAGAGGTGTATCCATCTCTGCCGGTTGCTTAACCACACACTCTGCAATCAAATTTTTTGGTTGTGAACTTGTGACCGGCCTTCCCAATGACCTCCATGTTCAGCCTGTTGAAACCTTGGCACTTATTGATTAATCTCGCAATCTCATAAGTTTCACCACGGTTGACCTTGGTCTTTGGACCCTCGTCAGAGGTGTGTGTCCATCTCCAAGGGCTGCTTGACCACAAACTCTATAGTCCCTCGGTTCTTGTCATGGTAGGCTTTCCTGATGATGTCCACAGCCTGCGGGTGGGTCACATCCTGGAGGGAGTCCCCGTCCACGAAAAGCACCTCGCAACCAGCCTGATTAGAGAGGGAAAAAGTCATGAGGCTGCTCATTATAAACATAAAATACATCACCTGTTGTTCTTTTCTGATAGGCCACTTACTGTATCTTAATTCAAGCCAATGTGGAAATGCACATGTATGTAGGTAGCAAAATGTAATGCTAAAAAACACCACCGAACAACAAAAACAGGTATTGCAATTTGAATTACAGCAATGATGCTATGAAAACAAAACAAGAACTCATACTGAATATTGACTACCTTGCTGAATGGAGAAAATACACAGTCATGCAAAGGATATTACTTTTTTGACGATACAAACTCCAAAAGAAAGCTCTAACAAAATCCAATCAATTTGGACAATAAAACAAACATGTCATCCTTCTGATCTAGTTCAGGGATATCAGTCATGTTCTTGTCCACAGCTCCAAAATGAGGTCAGAGGATTCTGAATATATCGTGTTAAGGTCTGGAATAAGACCAACAATTTTGCTTCTGCTCAAAAACTGACATCCAACTTAACTTTTAAGCCTAATGGTCTGTTTCACATGATGTCCTGTTGTGTCTGGCTCACCTGAAGGATTCCGTTGTCTGATGCTGCTCCCCCTGGAAATACACGATCAATTCTGACCTCGGGCTGGTGCTTGCTATCCCGTCCTCCAGAAACACTGATGCCTGTGGTATCAAGTCAGGGTGCAAGGCAAGATAACAAGCACATGCTACTCACAAATTTGCATAGGACAAATTGTGTTGGATTTCCTTTCACTGAAGTCACTCTAACACAAGTAAACTGAATCAAAAAGGATTTCACAGAACAAATGCATGTGAATGGTGAAAAACAGGAATAAACAGAGCTACACAGAGTTACATGTATCTTTGGTACGGTGGCTCGTATTCGCCAATTCGTTACACACGACCCCTTTTTCTTTCGGTGTTATATTGCTGTATTATGGCGTTATATCGCCGTACTATGGCGTTATATCGCCCTACTATGGCGTTATATCGCCGTACTACGCCGTACTATGGCGTTATATCGCCCTACTATGGCGTTATATCGCCGTACTACGGCGTTATATCGCCGTACTTTATGGCGATATATCGCCATACTTTGTGGCAATGTATCGCAATAGTAGGGCAATATATCGCAATAGTACGGCGATATAACGCCATAGTAGGGCGATATAACGCCATAGTACGGCGATATAACACCGAAAGAAAAAGGGGTAGTGTGTAACAAATTGGCGAATACGAGCCACTGTACTTTGGGGATAACACAGGAACAGAACAGACCGTCTTAGCCCAAACTAAAGACTGTTTACACCATTACTTGCTGATTGACTTGTTCCAATGTTGAAGCCATTAATTCACTGATATACCATGGTTTGTTGTCTTCATCCAGGGCCAATTTATGGGGAAGACAAGCTCAAAATATCACCAAGTACAAGTAACTGCTATTAAGCAATGCAGGGGTACCAGTCAAAAATTCCACACCACATACTGCTTGTCACTGATTTCCATCTGATTGTGTGCCTAGCACTTAAATTTGCCTGACAATGTTTTTTTGCTTGAGAGCAGCACGGCATTGGCTCAGCAGTCCTGCAGTATCACACACATAACTTTTGCTCTGGACTTTATTTTAACAATCATAACAACTTAATCACAGACACAGTGCTTACCCAATGAGGGCCTGCTTTTGCTCAAGGTGACCGTCATAGTCTCCATTCCAGTCTTGAGTTGTTCCACTGTTTTGTCCTCAGCCTGGGCAGTGCCGGGTGAGGAGGCCATGCGGCTTTTCATCTCAGCATCAATCTCCTGGAATGGCGCTGGCTCACCCAGGTTGATGTCCTCAATATCCATGTAGTCACTGTTGGCTCGTCGCTTCTCTACCGAGGGAGCCTCATCTTCGCGGAAACTGTTCTTCCTGTCAGACAGAATGAGTTTGGCCCATAACAAAACAGTCCAGGCAAATATTGACATAATTATATGTGTAGAGCCTACAGAATTCAAAACTCTTCCACTACATTGTGATCACAATGTGATGCCATGCTTCAAAACTGCATAGAAACTGACACAATCCCAAACAGTTCCCAGTCAGTGAAACGTTTTTTCACCAGAGGCCGAAACGCATAGAAATCCCAATGTCTTGATAGGCATCACTCAGCTACTTTCTTCTGTTTAGGCAATGATAGGCATAACTCTGTAAAAATACCCAATTTTACACCTTACATTCAAACAATTTTACACCTTACACAACTGACAACCACACAATGTTGAAAACCATCAGAAAACTCTCCATCAGTTTGTCTTCTAGTTCTTCGCCTTACAATCCCAACATTTCCAACATCTGAATTGGGAGGACATGATTTTGCACTGCAAAGACCAGGCCTCAATGTCTTAGAGTTCTTTATGAATAGAGAATGTGCCCCTAGTTTCCTACTCTGTGTTATATTTCAAACCATGTAAAGAGTTTAAAAACTAATTTGCTGCGATTCTATACCCTAAATCTGACAGCAAGTGATTTTTGTGACTTACAAAATGCCCTTTCTGGATGGCACGGGAGAACCTCTGTACTCAGTAAAGGTCACTCTGAATGGGCTGCGACGATCGCTGTCTGCACTATCATGAGACCCATCCACTGACCCCTCCACTGACAGACTGTCCTTGACTGGCTGCTTTGATTTCTTCCGGCTCAGATCCACTTTAGCATAGATCGGCTCCTCAGCAACTGGCGCGTCATAGGTCCCTGATGCTGACTCGTTGCTGGACGGGATGAGTGGGGAGCGAACCGTGTTGGGAGGGGTCTTGGGGACAGCTGGAGACAATGGACTGCCTACTGAGGATGTGGGCGTGGGTGGCAGGGTCATCTCACTGACAGGGGAGAAAGCATCCGGTGAGGACCATGCCGGGGACGTCGCTGTGGAGTTGGTAGCAACACCTCGTCTGGAGTCACTGTTTGTCTGGATCAGACTGTACAAGCCGCTCTTGTTGGGCTTGAGAGAGTCCTCAGGAGCACTGCTGTCAGCATCACTGTCTGAAGACCCATCTTCAAACTTGGGAAGGTCAACCTCCTCACCGTCCTCACTTCCATCAAGTCCATATATCTCAGCATCATAGACCATAGGGGCTTGGGGCGAGACATCATCAGTCTCCAAGGTGTCGTCCTCAATCCTGGGCAGCACCCATCTCTCTTTCTCCTCTTCCTTCACTTCATCTTGCACAAGAACTATGGGTAGCAAATTCTCATCGGACCAATCCGTTGCTCTCTTTCCATCCTTCTCTGTGCTTCCCAATGCAGAATTCTCTTCGCCTCCTTCCTTCAGTGCCACTCCTAAATTCTGTTCCTCTGATGTACTCTGCTGATGCTTGTCCAAGGTGACAGGCAATTTCTCGACGATGCTCTCTCGGACCGCAACAACAACATCGCTCTCTTCTCCAGTCGAAGCTAGAGATGCATTTGAGGTCTTGCTGCCCTCCTTAAAGTCGGGCGATCCAGTCTTCATTTCAGGCTCTGCAAAATTACTCTTGCCAGGGTTGTCGAACATTGACATAGCAATGTCACTGTTGTGCAGAGAGTTGTCATCCTCAGTTCCTGACTCCTCACCTTCACCTTTCCCCTGGTCAATGTAGCCGGACTTCTTACTTTGATTCTCCCTCCGTAGTTCCTCCAGCTCATGTTGTCGACGCCTGTCCTGCTCAATGTCTTCCTGGGTCTGCAAGAGGAACTTTCCCTCTTGATCTGTAAACAAAAAGGATTTTTCAGAAACTACAATCATTGAGCTCCAATGACAGTGATCTCTTTTGACTCTCCAGTATTCATAACCTACTAAGCTGATTGGTTCCACTTTGTAAAAATCACTGAAAGAAATAGCATATATAGCTTGGTATTTTGGCAAAGGACCTCCCTGAATACGTTCTAAATTCCTTGTGCTTTTGATCTGTGACAGAACAGGATACTTCAGAATTTGAAACTTTGGCTTCTAGTCAAAGTAACTCCGTTTGAATTCCGGATACTTATAATGTACGGATGCCAACTGTCGACACTTCATTGAACACACAGACAACAACATTATGCATCATGACATGTCAACTTTAACCCGCTTGGCATTTCAGCAAAGAACTTTTTAAACTTCTCAATTCTCCACTTCAAGCCTGATGGCACAATCATTGTAACTTGCCTTTAAGAGACCTCACATCCCTGGTAAGCTAATAGTGGCAAAGTTCAACTTTCAACGATCTAGCCCCATTTCTGACGATCTCCCAAAAGGGCATACAGTTAGCGTCTGTTGCCAAATGATGAACCATGGCTTTACCACAATCTCCTTAAACCAACATCTGAATGTAACTCAATGGCTTGCTGCAAAGCAAGAACTAAATGCATGCTTACGAGAGCTACAGTTTAAGCAAGATCTATAGTTTGATGTCTTGGTGGGCATTCTGCCAATTGGACTGCACTTACCTGGTTTAGGCTCCAATATTGTCTTCCTTGGCTTGCCAACTGAATTTCGCCTCATGGAATTCAGTGGCTGTGACAGATCTAAAGAACGCAAAAAATTCGACATGGCCAAAGATATAAAATAATCTTGCAGTGGAGTTCACAGCAAGCGCAGTTTCCATTTCAATGCAATGTTAGCTGAACTGGTGTTTAGAGATGTGGGCGGTGCTAAAGCTAGGTCCTCTCTGCCTATAGTGAATACATGCACATCTTCCAGCTGCTCTGGTGCTGTATGCCATTTGGACTCCAATGAAATTCAGTCTCTCATACCTCACACTTACGCCCAGCTTGGCACATGCATATGAGTTCTAACTTTACCCTGTGCACTGCAGCATGCACTATGAAATCAACAAGTTTTATATCAGCTGTCTCGCCTTCTAGACTTGCAAATGCCAACATTCAATCTCACCTGCAGATGTTTTTGTACAAATTCAACCCTGCTCCAAACAGTTTTGTATTTGAGTCAATCACAAGTCCCTCCAAGTTCATCACACATTAGCCAGTCTCAAGCTAAGTCACAAGCTTTCAGCTGAGCTGAAACAAAAGCATTCCTTTGTCACTGTTCACCCTGTAACTCATAACTGGTCTTTTGGAAGCACCTGTGAAGGGCTTGTGACAGGACCTGGGATGCACTCGACTACAGCAATCTCCTTTTCAGTTTGCAAACCGTCATACTTTCACCAGTGCCGAAGATGTGGATGGCAGAGAATTTGTCCTTGCCCATTTAAAAATACTTTTACCAATAAGGCTACCAAAATTTCCCCTTTGAGTGACAAATCTCAAAGACTAACCTTTCCGTCCAAACTGCAGCTGTTCATATGCCTGGAGTTCCCTCCTGGACACCATGCTGTCAAAGCGGCCCAGGTCTGAGGGGGCCACCACGCCACGGACCTCCCTCAGTAGCAGAACTTTCTCTGGCTTGTCGAGAATGGCCAGGATGGGTAAGACTAGGTTCTCAATGCGACCCTCCTGGTGGTACTAGAAGAGGAAAGAGGACACACATCCAACAAAATAGTCTTTTTTTCAGCAACTGTGCATTAGGTTTCCATTAGATAGGGCAAACTTTAGTCTTTGTTTTGAAGTATTCACTCAGTTTGGCGACATGATGAAAATGGACAATATGTGGGTGAAAAATGTTACATGTTACATTATGCCTGGTTCTTGCAAAGGCCTTCAACTCAGCAGTGTCTCTGGCGATTTGTGACTTATTTTGATAGGTTACATCACATTTAGATTGAATTTCGATTGCAGCCAAGAGCAGAAAGTTCAAGCATTTACAAAGCTTGTATCAGCACTTATGCTACACAGTCTAACTGAGTCATGAACATTTCTATAATATCAGTTCTGGCTTTTGGCGACTCACCCATCGGACGTGCCTCATGATGGCCGCTCGTTCGTCCTCATTCAGCAGCTTCTTGGCCATGTCCTCCAGGACGTTCATGGCGCTGGCATAGCAAGCCTCTGAGTACATGAGCTGAGTGCCTGCGCCATGCATGAATGCAGTTGTTGTTGGCTGCTGGGCGTCTGCAGTGGTCACTTGCTGAGGGAGGAAAGTACTGACTGGACTGGAACTGCGACGGCGAGCAATACTGCCTGGATTGGAGTTTGCTGGGGGGTTTTAACAGAAAAATTGAAAATTGTAATTCAGAAATAAAAACACCAAAAACAAAATCCTTCACAGATGTTACATAAGGCATCAGAGTTGGGTGGACTTGATTTAGTGTTACCAAGTCAAAGGTCTGACTTGGCCAACACTCAGAAAGTAAGGCCTGGTAGTTAGGGTTTAAAATTCCCAACCATAGTGTCAGGGGTTCAAATCCAGCAGCTTGGTGCAAGGTGTGACCCTGGGCAAGTCAATTTACCACGACTTGCTTCTCTCCATCCAGGAATATAAATGGGTATTTGTGAGGGCAGGGATATGGTTACTGTGTCGACTACCAGCATTGCACCTTGATTGGCTGCATTGAGCTTTATACTAAAAAGGAAGCTGAGGTGGTCTTTAGGAATGTTTAATGCCCGGTGAGCAGATATAACAATGAAGAAATCAGATTTGTGTGAAATGCACTTTAAAAGAATGGCCCATGACTACTTAATGTAAGTTCATTAAACAATATTTTCTGCTTATCAGCTCTGGTAAGTCAACCAAAAAGTTTGCAAGGGATAAGATATTGGCAAACAAACCAGAAGTGCAGGTAGGTAAGAAGAAAACTTACCGACAGACTCTCTTTCGTTAGGCCTTCTTGTGGCCCAGCTAGCTGTCATAACCTCTGACTGGTTAACATTACCGCCAACCTGTTGCTGCTCCACTGAAGGTTTCTTGTTCAGACTGGCATACGCTGCTGCTGAGGGGTATCTCTTTTTGATGCGCTTTGGATCTATATACACATGAAAACAAGTGTTAACCACTTCCTGCCGGGGCATTTTTCAATGTTGATGATGCTGGGCCGGCATGACTGTCATTTTTTCCATTTTCAAAATCCTTCAAAAATTCATCATTTCATTTAACGGTCGGTTATAGCTGCACGAAGTAATCTTTAGGCACTACTCTAAGTTGACAGGTGACCTTCATTGATGCCTGAGTATTTCAGCCAGGCCAGCAGCCTTGTAAACAGAGCCCAGATTGTGCGGTGTTGTATAACTGTCTTTTGTCCACGAACCTGGCTCAGTGCACTGCTGACCTCTTTTCAATAGGGGCCAGATTAGCGTGCAACGGTGCTGTGTGGCTCATCACTGCGGTGGTGGAGCGCTTTTCTCCCCAGTGGTCCGAGTTCGGAGACCCGGGCCATATGTCTCCGATTCCAGAGTCCCCGGCAGGAAGTGGTTAAGAGTACAGACACTTCATGTTTTATTGTCCACATCGAGATACAACTCAGGTTTTGGAACAAAAAACAAAGACAAAAAACTATGGAACTTTGAGCAGGTAATAAAGATCAATTTAGTAAACGACTTGATTTTTTTGGCAAAGAAAGATGGCAACCAAGTCCAAGTGCTGCTTAACGTGCTACGCAAAAATTCAGCGGACAACCAGAAAAAGTAATACATATTGCTTTGATAATTTGGTTGGTAACCTGTCACTGTTAAGCATTCAATGTATCATACTGAGCAAATGCATTTTGCTCAGTAGTTTCGTGCATCTGAATCCAACTTACTGTCAGCGGCTTTTTTGTCCCTTTGCCTCTCTGCCTTCTCCTTCTTGTCTCTGCTCTTCATCTTCATACCAAAGAGGATCTCCCTGAATGTGCGGTTCCTCTGTACTCGCCGACTTTCTTTTCCCTGCATCTCCTTCTCAAACACTGGCAACTCTTTCTCTGTGAAATCCACACAAAGGAACTACTCACTCACAATCGTGGCACTTTTAGGAATGTCCATGAATTCATCCAAACTGAACGCTCTGAAGTCACCCAACATGAAAGCAGACACAAGCACAAAAAACGTGGATAGCTTTCTCACCTCCAGGGAATTTCATGCTATGCGACCGTCCAATTCTCTTGTCATTGGTCAGTGCAGTGGTACCCATGATAGTCTGGTTTCCAGACCGGGATGGGCTACTTGCTCTGTCACTGGCCTGCTTAGGCTCCACCGCAGACTTTTGTTCTTGGGATGGTAGAGGCACGTGCTTCTGCAACAAAAGAAACATCAAAACAAGTATCCAGTTATTGCTTTTTACATACAAATGAATGTGCTTTGAAAAATTTATCACGTCATCTCACAAGCCATGACATGCAGACTTATACTGTACACGTACATGCCCCCTAATTTAGGGCATGTCAACAAAAAATAGCACATACACATGTGTAGATAGAATCCGTATTATCTGCTTTGCAGCAAGAGGAGAGAAGGTGTTGGGAACCATGTCCACTGGGCACCTGACTCACACTCAAAGACTTCAATAGAAATCGGTTGCACAGGTTCAGTACAGCTTGTACAAAGGGCGTAATTCATCATTTTTTTAAGCTAGTTTCACAATTACTGATCTGTTATTTGCAGTCATGTCTCCCTCGTTTAACTGCATACAGTTAAAGTTATAATGTCTAAATTTCATATTTTCTTTCGTCTTGTTTGCTTTGTTGAACTCATGGGTCCTTAATTATAGTTATTATTTCTAGATTCGTTAATCGGCATTGTCTTGTTTCTCCTGTACTGTTTGGCATATCCACCGGAAGCTTTGGCTTTAGATTAGTGCCTCTACAATGTGGATATAAATGTTATTCAATTGAAATAAGATGAACCCGTCGAAAGTGAATCACCACCAAAGGGACATCTTCACAATATAAAAAGACACCGTCTTTTGTTTCCGCGCGGGAGGGATGGTAGACTTATTATTTACATGGACTTTCCTTTACCATTACCTGTATTAGGGATGTTGTTTCTGTTGCTACTGACGACCTGGATGACTTTGGGATTGGGGTAGGTGACATGGTAATTGATTGGTTGGGTGCCCAGTTGTTGCTCTCGTTGTGTGCATGCGTCTGGGTGTACTGTTCAGCTACCTCCACTGGGATAGCGTCAATGAGTTCTGTGTGGGTCAGGGGCGTTGTGCCTGAAGTGGGTGAGGAACTGTGTCGCCCTGAAGTACATACAAAAATGTTATTATTTCACTTTAAAAAAAAAGTCTCACCCTTTATCCTTCCTAAGAAAACTTATTCTGATGTGCAAAGTGAGTCTCCTTTAACAGAATTTCCTTCAGGTTTACTGTAAGCAATTTGTGTGGAACAAGTACCATCCACCTTTATATAACCACTTGGTGCCAGGGCTCGCGGTACCAGGCACCTTGGGTTTCGGACAAAGGAACTGGGCCTTGTAACAAAAGACCGTTCTCTGAACAAAAAAACGAGCTGCTGGGAACTGCCATCATTTTTCAGCTGGCATTAGCGGAGGTAATCTGCCATTGTTTTAAAACAGTATACCACTGTTTGCAGCATGCAGCGCCCACGGATTATCAGCGGGGACAAAAGCGCTCTAGTACTCAAGAAATGAGCAATACAGTACTGCTGCACGCTAATCTGACTGCATTTGAAAAGACACCACTGCCATTCAGCAACAGGCCAATTTCAGGAACAAAGGAAATTACACAACACTGCACAATCTGGGCTCTCTATACTGGGTGGCAGGCCCGGCTGCAATACTTGGGCATCAATGGAGGTTACCTGTCAGATTAGAGTAGCCACCGGACAGTCATTTGTGTGGGTGTAAGCTTCCAGTAAATGAAGTTATAAATTTTTAAAGAATTTTGAAAACAGAAAATCTTGAAAATTGCCCAGAGAACTCATCCCACATATGCAAATTCCACCCAGCAAGAAGTGGTTAATGTTCTTTTTAGGATGATTAAGTGCGATTATGCAATCTCACGTTTGTGTTGGGTATCCCTGTCTGCCCATCCGTAGTCCTCACATAGTTCCTTGTAGGCCGGGTACCGGTTGACACTCCGAATGGTCATGATCAGACACGGCTGGTTGCGTATCAGCTGCACCGCCTGGGCGTGGGTGGCGCTCTCTGTCGACACTCCATTCACATCAATAATCTGATCACCCACAGAGATGCCGTGGGCCTCTGCTAGCCCACCCTTGTCAACTCTGGGAATCAGGGAAAAATTTCCGGATACATACTGCAGCTAACAGTCAGAGTTGCAGTTGACTTTATCAAGAGTCAAACTACACATCAAATGTCACAGGGAATGAATAATGATAGACAATGCCTTGTCATAGTTGATTAGAAGAGCTGATGTTTTGACTTCAGAGTGGATACCTGTGATGGATTTGTGTGGACTTGGCTGCAACACCAGCAAAAGTATTTAAGAAATAACAGCAATAATTACATATCAGACTCAGGAAAAAGTGTATAACACTATTCACCAACAAACACCCTCAGTTCAACGCAACTGAGAGTAATTTTGGACTACCAAAATTCAAATACCATTTAAAAATGTGCCAAAAAAAATCACTCATTTGAAAAGCAATGCATCTGTTTTAAAAATTGCAACATAACACATCCAACTAACAAGAGAAAAACACTGAACTTGCAAAGCACAAATGGAAAAGTTCTTTAAGACAGAAAATTTTTGCAAAAGTGTGGAGTGTTTCAAAACGCTGCAAGACATGGGACCCCAGGGCTATATTCCACTCAACACAGGAAGTCAACGTTTTCACACACACCCCTCAACAGGGACCTACTTGGATACGTAAATGCCCACACCATACTCCATCCCTCCCCGGATGTTGAAGCCAATGCATCGCCGTGGCGATGGGGTGATGATGACTCGCCTCTCGTCACCTCCGCTGAGCAGCCGCGTGCCTCCCATGGCAGCGTGGGAAGGGTCCACGTCGTTGAACTCTCCAGCGACTATCTTCCTTCGTACAGTGTCAAACCTAAAATATCATACATGTACATGTAGGCATGCAACACACAGAAATGTGGGAGGTGGGGGTCTCAACTTCGATTTTCAACTGAAAATAACTTCACTATACACTTCAAAAAACATTTGTTAACAAGTGTGTACTTATTTCACTTGATCACAGAAGGAAAACACACAAAAGGACTGAGAGATCCTGACCCTTCTATGTGGCCAGTCCTTCACTTGTTTAATTTTGTCCTCTGCGGTAAATACCTGTGCTTAGTTTGTGGGAAATCGAAAGAAGAAAAATAGTGCCTTGCCCTTCATGATAGAGAATACATAAGTGAATACGTCACAGGCTCAATTACATGTATGTGTGTAAAAGGCATTAACACGAGAACCACTGAGTGAACCAACCGTGCAACACTCACATGTAGTAAATTCCTTTGCACTACACTTGGTGTTTCAAAATGAACTCACACTTCGGTCCTCATGTAGCAAAATGCTTCCCAAAGGAGAATTGTTATTGCATGAAAGTGCCTCTGTTGGCTTACAAAACTCCCATGATGTTGATGGTTTCTGCATTTCCCAGTTTATTTGCAATACTATGAAAAATTATGCCTGTACTTCTTTGGCCCTTTTATACCTCAGTCCTCACACTCACCAGTGAAGGTCATCAAACAAGGCTCACACTTTACAGACTTATTAAACGCTGACCTCTCCACCATAAAAGAAAAAGGGGACGGGACTTACCAGGTTGTCTTCTCCTTGGCAATGCGGTGTCCCTGTACCCAGCCGGACTGCTTCACCTTCAGCCTGAGCCGGCTGCTCCCCTGCAGCACCATGCTCGCACTGCTGCTGCTGATGTTGTCAAAGCTGATGTTGTTAACCTCCAGGATCTGGTCCCCGGGGCTTAATCCAAGCAATTCTGCATGCAAATCAGAGGGAAAATTTTGGTGCAAGAGAAGTTGGTTTCTTAAAGCCTAACACACTGCCATATCCTACAACCTACATCAGGTTTACGGAGGACTTTGCAAGATTGCTAATGTTAATGTCTTGAATAGGTTCAAATATAATAAAAGTGGTAGTTGTTTCCATACTGTGGAGGATACGGCAAACTCAACAAAAAATGCCTTGGAGTTTAACCTTGGCCTCTTAAGGAGGCATGAATTACACCTGTACACTGACATTGATGGATTCAACACTGTCGAGGTACATGTACATTAAAGGAGATTTTTATCAGGCTTTTCAAAGCAAGGTTTAGCTCTTGACTGGTTTATTAGTTATTATGAGCACTCTATGCCCACTACTAGTACATATCTAAATGTACATGTATACTTTCTACAAAAGCTGTTTGCTACATACTTTTGTTGCCCAAATTCTTGAAATGTTTTTAGATATTTCATGAACATGCACTGTGCAGATACCTGCACAACATTTTTGTCGATCCTTTTTTTCAGAGCAATTAGGAAATGTTCCAATCAACGAAACAGAACAATTCCCTTGACATAGTCTCCCCTGAAATTATGATCCTGGAATACTGGAGCTAAATTTCCATGTTAGTATGGTTATTAACAATGGACTTGTTTTCCTTTCTACATGTAGATGTTTACCTTCCACAGAGCCAGGCTCCACAGTGCTGATGAAGATCCCTTGGCCTTTCTCAGACCCTCCTCGAATGCTGATTCCTAGTGCCTCCCTGTCCTTGTCGATAGTTACCATGCGAACAGCGGTGGTCGGGTTGTCATGGAAACCTTTAGTGCCTGAATGAACGAAACAGGAACTCCACTAAAAATCAATTCTTGCTGGTTTAATAATTATGCATGAGAAAGGGAAGGCACGCAGTGTCTTTTTCAGATAGGCACAAGTCTTGGGACACACTTTGGAAGTCACATAAGAAAAATTGTTTTCTAATGTACAGGGATGAACATACAATAACCATAGACAAGACATGAGGCCACAATGGCTTATGAAATTGACAAACTACCAAAATGATATGTACAAAACAACCCAAAACTGAAAAAGGCATTGGCTATGACAGATAAGATGTGTCTGTTTTTCCCACTATGCATAATGAAGAAAAAACTTGACACCTTACCTTTAGGCAGTGTCAAACAATTCAGTTATAAACTAAGCAACAAGTCGGATCCATACTTTTTTACAGCATACCCACAATTTAAAACTTTTCCCCATGAATCAGCAATTTTTTACTTACAGGTTTCTTTGCCATCACTGTAAATGAAAGGTTCAAAATTGGGGGGGGGGGTTTAGAAAAAATAGAAATAGTTATTTTAAGAACTTGAAATTATAATGAAATTGAAAAAATTCATGGCTGCAGCTTTAACTCTCGTACTTTCAATGCCACAATACTCAATTACTCCTTACGTGCCTTACAAAGATGCAAAATGACATGATGCCTCTTGGGGTAAGTTCAATCAAGGACCAATAGTTAACAAGTGGTTGACTCATGACATACTAGCACATGTGCAGTGAAGTGAAGTGAAGGCAATAGTTGTTAGTTGTTAGGTCGTCAGGTCGAAGGGGATAAAAGGTGGCCCCAGGAAGGGCAAAATAGCACAAATAAAAGTGAAAATGGTCTGTTACTAGCGACATACTGTTTTTTCAGCATTTTTCTCATAACTGGTCCTCTCTGCACTGTTCTACGATTTATGGCAACCAACTATGCGACCAACCTTGGCTGGTCGTGAATACATGTACATATACACGTACATGTAGATGACTAGACTAGTCTACCACTGTCGACTAGTCTGCATTCGATCAGAGTAAGTCGAACTGTGGTTAACAACATGTATGGTCCTTGATCGAACTTGCCCCAATTAACACCTCACCATGGTAACTGATTAATACCGGTACTCCTACATCAACTCTAATCATGGGGATGCTGGTGCTCAGTCGGTCAAGGTAATGAACACTGTACATGTAATTACCCAACAGGTCAACACAACAAAATTATTGCAATGCATGGTATGTGTATCAAGGCATCTTTACTCTTGAGAATATCAGACAAAAGAATATACTGGATTTACTGGCTTGAGTCGAGATCATTGTCACATAAGGGATTCTTCAATGCATCCTCAATGGAGAAAAAAAAGCAGGGCTGCATGTATAAATACATGTACATTGTATCCACATGCAAATCCAATCTATCACTGTTTAATCTTGGAAGAAAAACACAGTGAGGGCAAAGGAATACTGAACATGTACTGTACTGTACTGTAGAAGACCCCAGCTATAAAAATCTCAAATTATGGCTAGCCTGTCTTTGATGGTTTTCTCGACATCCACTGCCACAATTCTTGGATTCTTTACTGTTAGTGACTGTTACAAGGGGACAAATTGTAAGTGATTTCCTGCCTGCGTTAGTCTGGTCAGTAACTGCTCAAATAAAGACATACACGTATTTCACAGACTATTCTGTACAAAGACCCCACCAGTTAACCTCCCAACTACAATGCCTAACCAGCAGATTAAAGCCTCCAGATCTCCTATCCAACATGGCTTGGGTTGTATGTACAAACTTTGTACATGTATTCTACAAGCTGACAAGTGGAACATGACAGATGTGTTCATGCCTGTGCTTCACTGTAACAATACAAAAGCAGTGCCTCGTAAATTGCTTCAGTCCACTGCATTTGAACAAAGACAGACCCTACCCAGGGAACTGATTGGGAAGGACAAAATGGTTAAGTGTAATGAAGGTGAATGGTGCTTCCAAGTACTCTATAATGTGGTTTCCATAGAAACATGATGCTCTGTTATGAATAAACAAGTAACGCAACTTAGTGTAATATGCAATGGACCACTATAAAATGAAATGTAATCACTTCAAGAATGTAAACATAATGCTTAAAACATGTATAGCTTACATGCAATAACAACGACCATTTACTGTCACACTGCCCAATGAGTTAAAAACATTCGGTGTTCACTTTTTCATACAATACTTGAATACAAATTCAGAAATACCTGTGTGACTCAAGAAAGTTGTGAAGTACATTTTCACACCAGTACATGTTCTGTATGAAGAGATTTTATAAACATTATTTCTGGTCACTCAGAGATTAGAAAATTATCCAAGATACTTCAGGTTTGATGGTACAATGTACTAGTAACTCCCTGGATAGTTCTTTAAATGCATGTAAGTGTAAGCGTTTAGGACATGTAATGCATAACAGTGAAAGAGCAATGCAATGTCAATCTTTGAAATCTTTTTCCTGAGATCTCAGAACGAGCTCTGTTGAATAGAAGCTCTCTCATCTTTACGAGAGGTTCTGATCAATACAGCTCTTTCTTAATTGCTGCTGTAGAAGTCACCTACAAGTACAAGTGGCTGTTAAAACTACATGTATGGCTGGCAATCAGTACAAACATGAAAGTGTTTAAAAAGGGCTAAAAAGTGTCAGTTTCAAAATACCAAATGACGGGCGCTACTGCTTGTAAGTACTTAACATTTCAGAAAATATGATGTTCTTCACAAGTAATGGGCAAAAACACATCTCAAAGTATAAGCTGAAATTGAGGGTGATATTTCTGCAAACTTTGGCTGCGCATACGAATAAGTTGGCAAAAATGAGAGTGGTTGGGATAGAAAATTGATCTGTAGGCATCTGCATTGTTCTCCCAAAGAATGATACAAGTACTACATTGTACAAACATTATTGTTACAATAAAAAAAATGTACATGTACATGTATCATCTTTGTTATCACTAGTACACAAAACAAACTAACAGAAATACAGTTACACTTTCTGTTTCACTGACCTACCTATTTTGATTTTGAGTCTCAACTTTTTTTCAGGGTTGGGGGGATTTGGTAAAACGTGAAAGTGGAAATTAAAAAAACACTGTGTCCACTTTTGTAATTTGAATGTGGCACAAAAAGGTTCAACAGATTTATTGATGTATGCATTTTCTGTTGTTCACTTCATTTTAATAAACAAATGCCAACCGACCTCTATTGCTTTTAATTACCTGTAGCAGCACACTGAATTGGTATGGAAAATTTCCCCCCAAAGTTTCCTTCCAATGCCAGGTAATACGAAGAAGAACTTTTTGGGAGGGCCTAATTCAAATAATACTGGCTCATAGCTCTGTAAAATTATTCCTCCCCCCCCCATCTCATCAAGTTTGCAAGACCTTGTCAACTCCCTTAGAGCCTGCAACTCAATACTGCTATATTTGCATCACCCTCTGTACTCACAGAGAGCCACTTACATGTACATACATGCACTAGTACATGTACATGTACATGCACACCTGGATAGTGAGACGCAAATAGCAACAAAGGTCCCATCCAAGGACACAGGCCACAACCCTACATGTACCTGACAGGAGCTAAACCCACAATAAATACAAGTATGTATGCATGCAGAATTTTCCACACAGAATTCAGTAAAAGTGGCATAAAAGATCGCGACGTTCCCACCAATATCGTCAATGTTCACACAGATATGATGACAACAGAACAATATCAATCAAATAAATGTGCATGTGAACAATACATGTACACAGGTGTACTGATCTACATGTCATTGTATTTACATGTACACTCCTGCAACATGTTCGAGAAATCAATATTTTTGCATTGTATCACACACTGTGCCACACTGGTCAATCAATATTGCCAATTCATCAGATGTTGATTCACAAAGATCTTCAGTACAATCACATATACCAGTAAACCAGAATAACACAATGCAAGAGTATATAATACACTTTTTGCAATGTTAACCATTCCAAATCCAGTCTGGGGTTTCTGTGCTTAGTCAACTGTGAGGTGGCCAACCTCACTGATTTTAGTGAACACCTCAGGCTTTGCTGTTTAATTGTACCACCTCACACTTGAAACATAGTCAAAGATTGAATGAAAAAGCAAAATGATTTAGGTATTTTGAAATACATGTAGATCACTTTCAGATTGTTCAGAACAACTGAGGGACAGAGAACACAAGAGAGGAAATTTAAAGTTAATGTCCTATTTTACTACACAGACTTCATTTTAGGCCTTTTTGAAAACACACTTGTGGTTTTAGGAGCGAGAATTTTGGCACAATTTTTTTTGACCACCTATATATCAGTACCCTAGGGGAAATCCTGGACTCAGTAATATAGAGCCCTGTAGGTGATTGATGTCCCAATTCATACAAAGAGTATGTCACAAGTTCACCCTGCATAAAATGTTAAAGTTGAGAAGAATAAGGACGTTTTCACCCCCCCCCAAAAAAAATACAAAGGGTTGAACTGTGTGTCAATAAACACATTTCCATCATTCCAAGGAATCTTAATTTAATACAACCCCTCACCCCAGATAACTCCAAAAACAACTACTTTACTTCAAAATTTGGTTAAACGAGTGACACATGTAAAGTAGAGAGGGCAACAGATGTTGGTCACCTCCATTCTTGTTTAAGACATTGACAGCACATCTTGCAATTATGCATTTGAGGTGAGAGTGAAGGATGTAAATAACATGTATGTGCCACATTGATTTTTATTTTTGATTATTTTCTTTTATTTAACAGTCTTCTCTGTGGGGCTGGGTTGCCCAACACCCAGAAACTATGAAACTTAGGGCCCCTAAAAGATAAATATAGAGCCTACATAAACATTTGCATACATGTCTTTACACCAAATTATGCCATAATAAAAATACACACACCAGCATTGACCACCCACACACACAAAAAGTTTTAAAGGTTAGTAATAAATGTCTTTCAATTAATTTTCAAGTTTGGGAAACCTTCAGACTAAGAAGAACATAATAAATGAGACACTGGTGTATAGGCAGAGTAGGACTGACAGCTACGGGTACATAAATAAACCCCTCGTTCTCTGAGCTCTCTATGTATTTGATGGGCCATACAGTTTCAGATTTATAAATGTAACATTTATTTGTAATGGGTTTGCCCGAAAAAAGATCTCATTAAACCATTGAATTTGACATGGTACTTGGGTATATTATTGGTTCTTGTGAACCTGTATGACATTTGCAGGTACATCAGGTAAAATTTACAGTAAAAATGCCAAATGTCATGACCTGTGCCCTCTACAACCGGATGCCTTTAAAGAGTCCATGTAATGCATTTTTGCAGCTCTTGAATAGGCACCTTTCTGTTTCAATTTACCTAACTTCAATTATTGTTTCCCTTTTTTAAGGTTTTTTGGTGTAGTGTCTATGTTTATTCTAATTTCCATATTTGTGAGCAAAACTGTGATGTCATTCCTGGACAAGAACCTCAATGTTACACCGATCTGTGCACAGAAAACCGCTGCAATGTTTGATACTTTTTCTTTGGTGATTTGTTGTTACATGGCAATGTCAGTGAGCAACCCTTTCTCATTTTCAGTGAGCAAAAGGTTCACAATTTCAACAAGAAACATAAACTGAGTCGCGTTCTTGCTAATTGGCATTATAGCAACAGCACCCTCAGATGTCTCGAAAAGTTTTGGCTATTTAAATGTCTTTAAAAAGTGCACTTTTAAGTACATGTATGCTTAAACTTAAAAGAATGACATATGGTTTTCATGAACTAAAGAAGAATATGCACAGAAAGTAAGTTTGAGAAAAATTCATAAATTTGTAACTATTTAAAACATGCATAAGCCAACATTTCTGCTTACCTCTGACTGAGCCATCACTGCGACTCTTGCGAAGGTGTTTGACACTCCCGTTGGCACTAGACCTGCCGTGGTTAGTGCTGGTCAGGATGACTGGGTGTGCCATCTTGGCATAGGGTGCCAGCCAGTCAAACTGGGCCAGGTGCACCTTGGGAATGAGACCTCGGATCTCCACCAAGAGGTCTAACTTGGCTGGCGTGTCCAGGATGTCCACGAGGCGTAGCATGAGTCTCTTAACATCCCTGAGGATGGTGAAAAAAGGGTAAAACCAAGCAATTAAAAATAAATTGTATACTGTCAAGGCACATGCATGTATTTCTTAGTTACTGCACAAAAGACTGTTTGCTGTCTAATTCTATTGCACCAACATGGTGCATTGGAAATGCAAAAATCCATGGAAGGAAAACAGAATTTCAAAGACAAAACAAAGAAAAGAAAGAAAGAGAAGAAAATTATTGGTGAACACCGACTCCAGGTTCACAGACTTGCTGGGCAGCATGCATATGAAACAAGCTACGGCAGAATGTACAAGTACTCTGACCAGTTGGAATCCAAAACCAAATACAGATTGGTAATGCTGAACTGTACAATGCCATTACAATAGAATTTGACGGTCACATTACTGCCTTCGTAACCATAACCAGTTAGTTGTCTTACTTGTACACTTCATACTGCTTGAGAATGTCATGCAGGTAGTCTCTCTCCAAGTCATTCAGCAGGATTTTGGACTTGCGGTGGAACAGCTGCAACTTCCGCTGATGACTGTCGCTTGTGCTCCGTCCCATGATGCTTTGGTCTTCTTCTCCAGCCTCTGAATCACTTTATTCTTAAAACCATGCTTTCCTCTGAGCCCCTGAGTATCGTTTGTCTACCATGGTTACCATTTTTTGGATGAGTCTAATTTTCAATTTGTTCTTTGGTGTCTGGTACATTCCAGAATGTTCCTGTACTGTTCCCAGTCATATTTCTTGTTGCCTTCTGATGCTTTGAGTGCTAAGCCACACCAGGCTGGTTCAGCAGTCCTTTGTCCTAATCTGTAAATAAGAAAGCAATGAACACTGTTACAAAAAACCCTGCTTTCCTCTTCAGAATCTCTAAATTGTCAGAGAGACGAGTCAAACAACCTCATTTCACCCATACGTCGTAGCAACTGTGGCCATTCTGATCTCTGCTCAAAGACAATTGTGGAAAAATACCCAACCATGGAACTGGGGCAAGCAACTCATGATCACTTTTTTATTAAACTGTGGGTAAATGACCTATGTACAATAGCAACCTTTGCAATCTTGACCAGTTGCAAAAGACTTCGGCCAACAAAAACTTGTAAGCTTTGCAAATACAGGTAACAGTACCTCACTGTAATGAAACTGGGGGATTACTAAAGATGACTAGGATATTCATATTCAAATAAGTACTGACCAAGAACAAGTGTATACAAGCTTTGTAAAATTCCAACATACCCCTGTAGTTATGATGACTTCTACGGTAACCACCTTGTATCCAGTCAGTAACCAAGCACTGTTCAGATAACCACACTCAGTGCTGAATGCATGACTGCATTTACACAATTCTCCTTTGTCTTTCCATACCACCATGACCAATAAATATACACAGGTCAAGTTACAGCATGAACTGGTACAAGGGGTTGCTGTAAACCTTCGTCCCAGGTCAAAGTTAAGTAAGAGGGCATAGAAAGGTGAGAAGTAATACATGTACAGTACAATATGGGCACAGTGACAACAGTACCATGATGTTACTGTGTGGTTCAAGACTGAGCTACTTGTACATCTTTGTACATTTTAAGCTTACTTTTCAAAACATATTTTCTATTTAATTAAAAAAAAATGATTTTAAACAATCATTCCAATTTGGATTTGCAGAATTATTGTCCTTTTCACTTTTTTCATTGGAATTTTTTGTATTGAAAGTTTTCTCAGAATCATATCTATGCCCAATTCTACATGCAAAAGTATTATATAAAGTAGTGTTTAAGACTTCCAAGATTACTCATAAAATGAAACTCAGGTTCCTACTCTATATGAATGTGTAAAAAATCTGTTTCAAGTATATCAAGAACTATTTACAGCAATTATTATTATTATTATTTTAAAAATGGTGATAGTTGACAATTATTATGAAGAAAACTAATTAATTGGGTCATTCACCTGTGTAACACCAGTAACACTTTTTCACAATAAATATGTTTACATGTATCAGTCAACAAATATTCGTTCTAGCTAAGAATTGTTTTTCAAATCAAACAGGTGCATTAACTATTTCACGAGTGATTGATTCCGGAGGCAATTAAACACGACCGCTGATTGGTCGACTGGCGCAACTCAGTTGACCGGCCCAGTACGACTCGACTCTACGTGTAATGCTGCATCTACAGGGACGTATAGGCGTACATGGATACATGTGCCCGGGCTTTTCGACATCAAAAAATCTTAAGTTTTTCACCTTTTTGCGCTATGGTACACAATCTCCACCGTAATCCGAACTACCCATGTGGTCTGCAGTACCAGATATTGACGATCTGTCGAGTGGCAGTGGCTCTGACGGGGAGAAATCGGCGAAGTCTGAGGACGCAGTTTCGTGTGACAACCGCGATGCCGAAGCTTCTAACGGATCGTGTAGCAACAGTAATATAGCGCCACCAAGAGGTGTGTCTAATCAACATTGGCAGGTACAATGTACCCCTTTGCCGTATTTTTTAACTTAAAAATGATTTGAGTCGCAAAAGAAGGCATTTGCTATAGAAATTTATAGGGGGGGACTTGGGAAATTTTATATTTTGGGACTCCCCGCCCCCCATTTTGTTGTCATTTTAATCTTGTAAAACTGGTCAACTGGTAAAAGGCAATGCTGACCCTTGGCCTTACCCTAGCTGCTTATTTCTTGGAAATTTTTAATTGTAAATTGTGAGAAAATATCACTTTCTTACTGACAAACCAGCCATGGAAATTTGAATCTACCGTGCGTCATGTGTTAAACCACACAGGGTTTCCTTTCATTATTTCCCCCAAAACTCAAAATCCTACTCTGTTCACATCAACCCTACGAATAGTCATCTACTTGGGTGAATCCAAAGCTTCAGTTAATGTACATGTACAGGTACGTGTCCTTTTTATTATGGGAACAGGGTCCCCAAATGTACAATACATGGGGTTTGAAATAAAGGTTCTGAGACTGAGTACCTGAATGTTAACAATGGCTGAGGGAGTTTTCCAAATAGGCTGTAGCCTAAACTTACAGGTACAATTTAATTACAGCATAAAATTATGTTTGTTCAAGAAAATTGACCCAATCTTGACAATGAATCCTGTCATGCCTGTATGTCTGTGTGTCGCCTCTTCCATGGTTTCACATAGTGGTTTTAGTTTTTTTTTTCAATTTAGAGAATACACACATAACATACTGTATATTGTAATTTCAGACATTCTACAAACTGAAGAGACGCCGTGAAGAGTCAAAACAGTCTCACTTCCAAAACAGGCCAAAGAAACAAAGAAAGAAACACAGGGGTAAGACGAACTTCAATGTAAAGTAAGCAGGGATGGGGGAGAGTATATTGTTACTCCTTTAGTCTGTTGGGCATTTTGGGAGACCAAATGTTAAATAACCCCATGTTGAAAATGTCACCCACTGAAATTGTACAAATCTTCGGATCAATGTTGTAAATTTGGTTAAGAAAGGCAACAATGTGCTTCAAAGATGGACCTTTTACTTATACAAGTAGTTACCATGGAAAACAAAATGAGTTGCCTACATTTATTTCAATCTCAATTTAGCGTGAGTTTACTGAGAATTACATGTATGTAGTTCCTAGTTTCCAATTTGGGAAAGAAGAGAACTCAAGCTATACGAATGATCTTCTGCAAAGCTGTTGCCTGATATCTGGGATTGCTTGTCCCTTGTCCTGCTTGCTACTTGTGACCGGATTTGATTACAAACTCTTTCACAGTCCATTCACTTTTCATAGCACTTGTTGATCAGGAAGATGCTTGCTCCCCAGACACTGCTCAGCCTTCCTCTTCATCTGCCTCATCTCCTCCACAAGGAGCAGGAGAGTCAAAACTTCCAAACCTTGAATCTCCAGGTACAAGCGGCAGTCCTTGCCACAATATTTTATTACCCTTTTTAAAAATAAGAAATTGAGTACCTGTACATTGGAACTTGTTTTACATCTCAGATATCTATCCAGAGCTGCTCCTAATTTGGGAAGGAGAGAAGGTAGTGGCCATTGGTTGGGGTCGTTTTCAGAGAGATTCCATTATTATGTATTTTCACTCAAGACAACGTAAGCTGTACAAATTCTCAACATACTATTCATTCAAGTCAAATAATACAATAGACATTCAACACAACTGTTTCCATTGTGCTTTTCTAATCCTATTCATATTTTCAAAATTACCAGAAAAGAAAAGCACCCCAACGCCAGAGCAACAAGAACATTGGGACAACTTGAAGAAACATCTGAATGTCAACGACCACATCTACCAGGGTATTGACCACGGCCAGTACAACCGGCATAAGGTAAGCACCCCAGCATGCACCGATATCCTCCTTAATTAATTACCACTGTGCCCCCTAGGTCCAGTTTTAGAAGAGCCGTTAAAGTGTAACGTAGCAATCTTGTCTGGTCAGCATGAGCCACCTGAGAACCATTAAAAATGCATGGGATTGTGCCCATTCTGATGAAATTCATCACTGGGACGTGTGCTTCACACCCTGTTCCTCACACACATTGCACCATGTGAACAGGTCATATGGCATCGTACTACTGTTCTTGAATGAAGTCCAAAGTGCATTGAGTATTGCAGTGAATTGCTCTGCTATTTTATCCACTGATGAATGCTCCAAAATAACTTTTGAAAAAAATAAAGTCATCATTTGTCCTCATATCCTAGGGTGTTTTTATAATTGTATCCTTTCCTTTCAGTTAATATTTTTTGTCTGTCTACAGAATCACACGTATGTAGCTGTTAAGCAAACCACTCAACCTTTTTTGAAATTTAATGTCTGTTATTCCAAGAGTGGCTTAGAAAAACAAGTTGACAAGGCCGTGGAGGAGGGCAGTTTTGAAGAGGCAGAAAAACTCAGCGACCAGCTGGCAACTAGAGACCTAGCCTGCAAGATAGCTAAATCGGTTGATGCACGAGACTACTTGAAATGGAAAGAGGTAACAATCTGCTGTCTCAGACTTTGAAAGTATCTCATCAAAAAGATGAATGTATAGAATGTCCAGTAGTGTGCCGTCTGTTCTCTCTTAAGAGCCCACACTGTTCCCTGTGTAAGCAGTCTTCATCCCAAACTGGAAAAGCATAACAGGCATGACGCTCTACCCCGGCACAGTTTGTTCCTCCTGAAAACACTATTCTCACAGGGAACACACCATGCTCTAGTAGAGTAGTCTTAAAGGAATGGGACTGCTTCACTTTTAGATACACCCCGAACAACAGCAAGTAGATTTTCCAGGCTAACAAGACAGCATCTCAGTTTAAACCGTGCCTTGATGAGTGATTTCTGAATCTACCACTTCATCCCCTCTGACAAACTGACGAACCTCAGAAATGAGGTCACCCAGTGCTTTAAAGAAACACCTGTACATGTGCAATAAAAGCCCAGGATTACTTGGATGCGGACAAAGTAAATACATGTACATTGCCAGGCCTTTGTAAATTAAGCCCTATCCTAAATTTAGTTACAATACTTTCACTCGACTGTGCTATTCTTCTCCCTTTTTGTGAACAGGGCGAGGAAGCAAAGAGGAAAGCCAGAAAGAGAAAGAAGAAGCTAAATTGGGTCTTTGAGGCAAAGGAGAGATGGCAGATGAAAGGCAACATGTAACATCACCCCCCTTCCCCCTGTGCAGTCATGGGTGACTGTGAAAGCTTTCTTGGCTGTGCAGCAGTTTATCTTCTATGATGACAAATAGCGATTGGGTGTCTACTTAAAGTGGGCCAACATGAAGACTTAACCTCATAGTGCACTTTCAGATCACACATACTCTATGCTTTCCAGTTAGACATTGCCAAGGGCTCCATTTTATGGCTGAAAGCATAATGTTGGGTTTTGTACTGCGCATCCACCATGGAGACAGTGGCTCCCTACAATCATCATCTCAGTGCTTGCTGCCATTGGTTACTGCAAATGACCAATGGTAGCATCAGCATGGTCACCAAATTCATCTATACGAATGTGTACATGCAGTGTGCAGACCCAGTGGGATGTGGTTGCTAGGTAACACAGTCCCCTAAATGTTCACACACAAGAGTCCGTTGGCTACATTTTCATGTTCGGTGTGGGCATGTAAAACGTGTCTACAATGACCACTGCATAATTTGCAAAAAATCCTTTAAAAAGATTTCAACTGCTTGATGCAGTGTTGTTGACTCGAGTCACTGACTTGGACCTGAATCTGACTCGAGTCGCCATTTTTCAAACTTGAGACTTGACTTGACTTGAAAAAAAATGACTCTAGATGTGACTTGACTTGAAAAGAAAATGACTTGTTGTATGAAACCATTTCTTTCAAAATATGCTCAAAAAATCCCGAACCTTGGTGATCCGTGCATTCATCCCACTCACAAAAACATTGTTCATATTCACGGTATTCTTCATGCATGTATCAGTACTCGTGTTCATAATACACGCGTATGTACAGTACAATTTACATGCATGCTGTACATCCGTGCTTGTGAGCTGCACTGCATACATGTAGTCTGATTACCATTCCTTATTTGAGAGCGGTCGTTCCATAGAACCCACATGCTGCATACCGTCGCAGGCTGCGGGCAAACTCAAACTTTGGCAATTACATGTTTTAATCTGATCAATTTCAAACTTGTCATAGTCATCAACCATCCTCTGAAGATGTGTGCCGAAACGTTCTTTATTTGTGCCATTTAGGATGTCATGTGACCTCAATTCATGAAATAGGCAGGCCAATAAATACATGTATATGTAACAAAATGAAGAAATTATAGCAATGTGTGTCACTTTCCTTTTGATGTACGTTGTTATCAAAATTTGACTCGAGACTTGACTTGGAAAAACATAACTTGAGACTTGGCTTGCTAAAATTTGACTTGGGACTTGACTTGGGAAAAAAATGACTCGATTACAACTCTGGCTTGGCGATTACTGAATGATTCACACGTGCAACACTCCTCTGCAAGTGGCATATTTTATTTTGTCACCAGTCGGTAGGATTTGGAAGTTGACAGGTGGGGGGTCTACCAATTTGGAAATGAAGGAAGAAAACTGATACTTGACAATAAAATATATTGAAATAAGTGATCCACAATTTTAAATCCAGGCAGAAGGTAATTTTTGATGTTTGACAATTCCTCTTCCCAACCATTCATTGTCATGTTTTAAAGTGATCCACAATGCAAATGTTGTCTGCATAAGGCTTTGGTTGTATGGACTGTGAAAATTGTGACATTTGCAATGTCCATATGTATACTGGTGTCATTGTCCAGATAATACCTGTAGCTAAGAAGCCTTTAGCCTGAATTTGGAAGGGTGGGTCAGATATCACTCGCATGCCTAATTCCCTCTTCATCAGATACTGTTCCAGTGTGTATGTATTTGAAAAATAAAATGTTTACACAAAATAATAACATATTTTTAATTCAAATAATGTACTACGAAAATACTTTTAAACTCACGTTGCTGAATAGTAAAGAATTATGCGCAATACAATGATACTGCTTAATGATTGGTCGATTAATAATGGGCTAAAAAACATAGAAGTGATTTCACCATGCAATCAAAATGCACTTTGACTCAAGTGATGGTCTAATCATATGCGACTTTGGCAATTATAAAAAAAGGGAAAATATTTTGAACTTGCTGCGTCTTCGGTTGAGACATCAAGTTTTACTGCAGATTCAGAAAACTTTGAAATCGCACCAGCATTTGTAAAACCACTGGAAGAGAAAAGCTGGAAGTTTGTGAATGAGTTTTCTTCAGCAACTTATACAAGCTAAAAATTTCCATGTGAGCTGTTTGTATGGCTCTGCATCAGGTAAAAAATTTACTCAAATTGAATTTCCACAACGTAAATTTATTAGCAAGTGTTCAATTTCTAAACTTTAAGCACGATTCACCCATGGGATATGGAGCTTTTAAAGTACTTTCAAAAAATATAACTTTGAAAACACCTCCATCAGATACATAACTTAGCAATTGTCTGTAGCCATAAGTACATGTGTATTATGACCAAAGTATTTTAGCATGGGTCCTACATTAACTCAGGACAGGAAACACATAGGTCCCAGTAAGGAACTGAATGACTTGGCTCAACTTGCCCAAGACATCTTGGGTAGCTTATTAAACCAACAACTGGATCTTGTGGAAAAGAACCAAAATTCCAAGTTGCACATCCCTATCTGAATTCAGCTAATTTGACGTCAAATTATCGTCAAACGATTAATCCATGGTTGTTGCACTATTAAGTTGGGGGATTTACACATGTACGTGTACATTCAGATAAACAAATGATAAAGTACCATCACTGAATGCATCTTTCTAGAAGTGTTATTTCCTTGACATTCCAATCTAAAACTCAATCCAGACAACTATACCAAGATAAACTTTCATGGTGTCAACACATTTTCATTTTAATTCAAAGGATTAAAGGCTTGTCAGCATAAAAATGTTAAAATGAGTGATGCCTCTTTTTCTAAGGTGGTTTACTTTTTTACTAGCATACTGGACTTCAAAACCTTTGAGGGTAGATAAAAGTACATGTACTTCAACTTTATAGGTGCAGCAGGGCTAAAAATACTTGAGAAATTCCAAAGGAATTGCTGGAGTGTAAAGTTTAACTCAGGAGGATCTGTAACTACACTGTACTTAGGAGTCGGGGTTAATTTGATATGAGAACAATGTGAAGACAGTCATGAATGTACATGCATGTGTTCCTTAGTTACTCTTTATGTTTGAACAACTTGGATCCTTTGTTCTTATAGGCTGGCCAACGACAATTTGGACAACAGTGATTGAGATTGGTGGTAAGCCAGACCATGATGCAATGCTGGTGGAAGGCGTGGCCACATGGTAGGCCACAGAGCTCGACCCCGGGCATGTAAGGCTCGAGACAGATGGAGCATTCAAGAGTCTCCATCATGCTCTCTGGCCAGGGGTCATACAACGATTTGACATCCAAGCCAAGATCGGTTTTTTTCTTCAAAGCGAATTCACAGTCACACATCAGACTTAGTACATGTACATCAGCTCCCTTGCTTTCAACAGACGCTTTATCATCAGGCAATGTATTTTCATGGCTGGATTTTTCAATTGAGTTAGACTCATCATTGGGTAATACGGTTTTGGCTTCTAAGTTTGCACTGCAAGTGCCTATAGAGATACTACCAATATTTTGAGGTTGAAGGGGGCTGTTGGGGCCAATCTTTTGTGAAGGATCAGAATTTTCACGGGAATTGGTGACCAGAAAAGGCTCACCTTGTTTGAATTCTCTGACAAGAGTACAGAGGCATCTTGTACATAGGTGCCTTTTACATCTTTTCCCGTACTTTCCGCCCATTTTGCTCTCACAATGTTCCTTGTCTTGGTTTCTAAAATACTCCTGCAAGAGCCTGCAGTTTTCCTGGTGGTGCTCTTCTGTGCCAGAGAAGCAGCTATGCCAGCAGGCGCAACACTTGCCAGTTGACGACCACTCGGTTGCAATCTCACGCTGGCGGTAGCGCCATGTCGGCAGATCTCTCAAGTAATCCTGCGAGACGTCAGCGAGCAGAAACATGTTTGGGAACATGGCCTGGTTGAGAATTCGGTCCCAATTCATGCCTTCTTCCAGCCGAGCGTTACTCATCAACACCCGGGTGTATCCAGGACTTGGTCGCACCAGCATGTTGTAGTAATAAGCAGCAGTGCTCTGCAGCCATTCACTGCTCGACATACGTCCTCCCGTGGTGTCTCCGCTATGCCAGCAGCTTTTAGCGTAGCCAGTGATGACACAGAATACAAAAAATGACGCAACAATCAAACTGCCCCGGTGGCCATGCATGATCCAAAGGCACCTCAACTGTGACGCCAAAGTCATTTGGCACAATAGCCGCAGCACCTTTTGGCAAAAACGAAATACTGGGTCAAGCAAGGGTACCTGAGTCAGCGCCAACAAGGGCAGCCACATCATTATCAGTACTGCATTGTACTTTGCCCACACCCAGAGAAATTGGCACACACGTTTGGCTAGAACCTCTCCTTGATTCAAAACCAACTCCAGGACACACAGCATGTTGCCAGCCAGAAAGGAAAGCATAAAGAAATCATTGGCTTGTGGGTAGAGCATTCCAAGGTACACATCCATGGCACGATGGTTTAAGTACTCCCCGTCGCGCATCCCATACGTAATTATCCCCTCATGGGTGGCAACCAAATAATGGGACGATTTAGGTTTGATATTCAGTTCCTCTGACAGCCAGTCTCGCGTGCTCTTGTGGATGACCGCTTGCCCAAATTTGACCCGTCCAGAATACTTCAAGCTGATTGCAGAGAAAAACAGAGGGGCTTCCACGTCTTCCACATCAGAGAGGAGAACGAGTTTGATGGGGGGCGTTGTCATTTGGGTCTGCGACGCGTCCAGCCATTCCTTGACTAGTTTTTCCTCATTGACCCGGTGGACTGTGTTGCCCAGCCTTGTGCTGACCCATTTGATGACCTTGGAAGCCTTGAGGTTGCTTGATGGGTAGGTTGCCATAACAACATTGTCCTTCTGGTTCAATCCCTCGGGCATTGCAAGCATGAGTATTGGATGGGTCCATCCTTTCTGTCGGCAAAATCTGATAGAAAAGAGAATTCAAAATGAAGACCATCATTGAGACTTTCCATGTGAAACTATTACTGGTATTTAAGCTTTTGACAGAAAAAGTCCTCCATTACCAGGTGGCTTTTCAGCAGAATGACTAGGTTTGGGGTCTAGGTTTTGGCTATTTAGCTCTTGTCACAAGTCTTGAGGATTTATGAAAACATAACTATACCTCAAAATCAAATCACACCATATTTTGTTATGCATGCTCTCATAATTTATGGTCTCGGTGTGCTGACTTGTCTGAAGATCAAGTACCATTTTGATTAAGGCGAGGTTGCAAGATTTGGCTACAAAAAGGATTGAAATATAAACCTCTCTGGGCTGACAAAATTTGCATACCTATTGTCACGGGCACAGTCAAAAGTTCCAGTCCGAATTCCAAAGTGAAATACTTTCTTTACCACTGTCTTCCACGTGTCTCGGTCCAGTAAAGGCACATGACCTCTTGGGATGACCTAAGAACATATACAAATTAAAAGGAGAGACAAATGCAAAGCTTGTTGGTGTGTTGAAACTTGGCGGGAACAAGTACAACACTTAAAATATTAAATAAATGTGGGAATTTACTTTATCCTAATAGAAACAACGAATAGTCTCTTTCTTACCATGTGATCTGAAAGTAAAAGAGCACAAGATTTTCTTTTTGTATCCACAAGGGTAACATGTACAGAAAAGGCCAAAGAGTGCTTGCTTTGCCCACCATGGCACAAATTTTCCAATGCTACACAAAAAATTAGTCCGCCATGACAGATTTTTATCCTTGAAAATGTGAATGACTATGGAAGTTTATTGCTTTTAATACCTGAATGAGCCAGATGCTATCCTTCTTGTCTTCAACCTCCTCGTAGAAGTGGGGACCACTGCTGAAGCTGGTACTCTGCACAGCCTCCTCCTGGTTCTCTCGCTCCAATAGGAGGAGCTCCCCTTCCATGACATCACCTGGACAAAAAAATTAACTGGCAAATGCTGATGTACTTAGGTAGCATTTTTATATAACCACCTCTCACAGAATGTGTAAAGTCATGTTTCGTCATATCTGGGATGACAAGACACTGTGTCCTACTATTCCTACATAAATTCTCCCATGGACTAAGCAAAGGCACTGATTATACCACAATAACTGTGGCAGACTTTTGAAAAGGGGCATAAAGTATAAGAAGTAGTAAAGGATTCACTGGTAGCACAATACTATCAAAGAATTGTGCAGATCAACCAGTAGCAGGCAACAATATTATCCACAAGCAGAACCAGATCCAGAACCAAATTTTTGAGAACCCAAAACTTCCTTAGGATAGGAGATCCATAGCCCCCAAAAGCCCCCTCCAACCATGGATCTGCCAATGTCTGCGTGTGGCTATACCCAAAATTTACCTGAGGCTCCTATGAGTGCTGTGAGCTCTTGCTTTTCAACCAGCCCATCGTAGCTGATGCCGCGGCCGTCCAGCAAGACCTTCAGCTTGCGCACACTTAGTGAGAGTGGGTCCACTATCTGTGAGATCACCAGGCCCGTCTCATACCAGGAAAATGCCTCCAGTGCCCGCAGGACCAGGAACAGCAGGACCACAAACAGCAAGAGAAGCAGTAGCTTGAGCAGCAGAGCTTTCATGGTTTTATGGCATCAGCTGTTCCCATTCCAGGGGATTCAACATCTACTGCAAATTACCTGTTGCACACATGCACAGAGACAGCAGAATCCATTTTCAGCAAGCATTTGGTATATCCATTTCTTTGAATGCAATTTCTTTTTTTAAATTTCAAGTCAACTGGTACTTTAATACCAACTCATACCTTTTGCCAACTAGCCACTGCATTTTAAGTCATACTTTCACCTCCTTATATCCTTACTAATCATTTTGTGGTACATCTATCCCATGCTAGAGAATCAGCAAATATGAGATCAGACACAAGACAGTATTACTTCTCTTGATATTGTTCATAATAAATTTTGAGGCATGCTATTAACTCTTATATTCCAAGATTGTTCAAAATCCATCTGAAAATACAAAGAGGGTGATCTTGACTGTTATGGAAGGTTTGGAGAATAATCCCTTTGGGGTCAGGGCAATACTCTTATCACGCTCATATAGGAATCTCATATTCAACTCAAAACGTCAACACCTCCAAAATACATTTTGAAGAAATGGTAAAGGGTACATGTACATGTGGCTGCAATCAAACTGTTTGACACAAACCTTCAAAATGCACCTTTGTTACTCATTTAAGCTTATTTTCAACTTTTGTTTCACAATTTGAAAGGGGAGTTTGCTGCCTTTCTGGCTTTTATGCTTATGGTATTTCCATATTTGTGAGCAAAACTGTGATGTTATCCCAGGAAAAGAGCATAAATGGCACACTGGTTTGTGCACAAAAAAGTTGTGCATTTTTGCAGATTTTGCTGGACTAATTTGGTTCTTCTTTGATGATTCATTGTTGTTTGCATGCTTAGCAACAAGTGAGCAATAATGGGTTCTGTCAGAAATGCTAGGTTCACAATTTTAATAGAAAAACCTAGGCAATGAGTGTCTTCCCTGGATGACATCACAGCAACAGTGCCTTTAGTTGTCAAGGAAAGTGTGGATATTTTTGTTTAAATAAGTGCACTTTTCAGAGCATTTAACCAAACAGGAGTGTGAAACAGTGTTCATACAATGAAAAGTACAAAGTTGTAGAAAATTGTGTCACAGAAAAATTCATTGCGGCTACCATGTAAAGAAATAAAGCTAAGTGCACATTTTAAATTTTCAACTTTAAAGGGCATGATAAAAAAAAACATGAAAAACTTTCGAGGAGAAAAGGGGAAAATTCCTAATCCAACTTGACCCTGAATATTCTAGTTCAGACCGCGCCAGACTCATGCTGTTTATCATGCAATATCACCACCCCTTTAGCATAATGGCAATATGGTTGCCAATTTCAGAGCCGTTCAGGGGGGCAGTTTTTGTGAACTACAAATGGCAATTTTAAACCTTCGGTGGTTTAGCAAAAATGTCCTTTTCGCAAACACTTCAAGACCAAATATCACTTCTTTTAATTTAGAACACATTTTAGAGGTGTTGACGGTACTGTGCATGCTGATGGTGTGTTAATGGTGTGTTGATGTTGATTTAGGCCTAATAATAGGCATGCAGTCAAGGCCTGGTACACTAGTGAATGACAAGTGAAGCTTTCCTCTCAGATACCAGTATACTGTCTCTACGGCCTGGTATTCGACTATTTACAAAAGAATTTCACTACGCCATGTATGTCAGTAAAACCCTAGTGAGAAATTTCCTTCTTACACTGACGTCTAAGATTGAGTAAGAAGTTTACTGACCGTAGTCTAGAGTCGTAGAGATCTCTTAGTCTTAGTAAGTCTGGCATTATAGGCCTAGCCCAGGCCTCTTCAGAAAAATGAAGAGTGCTGCATGATCGTACCTCCACAATCCGACCAAAACTTCCGACCGCTTTGCTTGTGAGCTTGCCAAAAGTTATACCGCAAACATCATTTCAAACAAAGGAGCACGCCCCCGAACTGCAGTGTTTGACGTGGCACACTGCACGGCTTCAGTCACAGCTTTCCCAGGTCTCAGGGTCTGTGTTTAGACTGTTGTTTCCCGCAACAAGATCAAAATGGCGCGAGCTGGCGAAAGTAATTTGCATACAACGTACGTGTACTTTAAATTGGCCTGTGGTAGTGACACAAACCACATGCCCAAGTACAGCACCAAATAGGGTACTATACATATCTACTGTGCTAGCCTTGTGTTCCAGTCGTTTATGTCATTGACCAACTTCAGCTCCAAATATGGAGCTAATTCATAGGGATGATTGTAATGTGTGGAATGAGCAGATCAGACACTCTCCACAAGCAAAACATCTCCAATTCACAAAGGAACCTGGGCCTGTTTCGGCATTATTTTAAAAACCAGGTATTTCAGGATCACTTACTGATTTGCAAAAATGTAACTGTCTCTGTATAGCTGTTTTCTTGTGTGACTCAACAGTGAACATATGGGAAACAAATGCAATTCATTCACGTTGTTTTTAACCCGTTTAAAACACTATATGCTCCTGGCAGAGTGTTGCCAATGATTTTTGGCTCCCACATTAGCCACATATTGTTGTCAGGTTCTGAGTTTTTAAATCAAAAGAAATAAGAACTGATTTAAAACAAATGACTTTAACATTCAATTTTGCTTTTTAATATGACTCAATATTTCCAATAATATTCACAAGGAATACACTTGACTTAAAACTGGATCTCATGAATCCAGATTAGATAGGTCTGACTACTCTTTCCTATGAGTGAATGATTCCAATTACTCAAGACAATGTTTTGTGCACTCAACAAAATTAAAATCTGTTAACAGCTTTAAAAAAAAGAACTTCTCAGCTCTTTCAACAGTAATAAAATTACATGCAGTTCAGACAGGCCTTTTGCACTCTGGATGACCTAACCTTTCAATTTAATGATACTAATTTGAGTTTTTATCTGTTGCAATGCATAAACTGGAATACTGTTAGTTTGTCGATCTCTGCTATGATGAATCGAACAACTAGCTGCTTCTTCATTTTTGGAATAATATGTTCTCCAGTTTGAGGACACACAGGGAGATGTCTTTTGGCCTGAGCTCCCACAACTGACCACACAAGTCCAACAACCAGGCCATTGATTTGTGGAAGCAGTCCATTTGATGCTCTGGCTTCATTTTTTTAATTGACTTGGAGCAAGTTGGGTACGTCACATAAGATGTGTTCAGGCTGACCAGGCCCATGTCTCTGAGGTAGTGGTGCATCTCTCCATGTCCATCCTCCTCACAGGAGTTGGTCAATACTTCATCTTCATCTGCTTCACTTTTTTCACAGCCGCATTCCTTTTCCTCATCAGCCTTGCCAATCTGTTGTCTCAAACGTTTGCTTTTTGGCTTTTTTGGATGCAGCTTAGCGGAATCTTTTCTCCATGACCACAGCTCACTCTGGTCGCTCTTCTCGGGGAGGTCTAGCGCCTCAAAGACACTCTTTGGTGGGACAATACACTGCTCGCAGAGCGCCTTTAGATTAGTTAGATGACTCAGGGTGTGGCTTGAGAAGTCCTCACTGAGTAAGTCGTCCCTCAGGACCCAGTTCAAGCTTGTGGCCAGTCTGGTCACTGGTTGTGGCTGGTCACTGGTCTCTTTTGGGGACGTGTGTTCAGGCAGGTTTGAGGGTACTGACTGCAGAGTGGGTCTAGCAACAGCAAAACTGCTGGGAGCCGAGTGAGACAGATGCGATGAGTTCGATTCCTTGAGTAGGGTACGGAATGGCCGCTGATATTCCTTCAGCTTTTCTTGACCTAGTTTACACAAACACTTTAAATTTAGACTGTTTCAATATGTAATGAAACCAGGTTTGGAGAGCCAAAACATGTGAAGTATACATAAATGCACAGAAGTTCCTTTCATACCACACTTTATTTTTTGCTGTCTACCGCATTGCAATTTTCTTAATCAATACACGACTTGCAGGATTGTTACACGTACATGCTGACATCATTTTCACATTTAAAAATAGGAATCTCAATGTAATTTACTTCTGTCAAAACAAGGAATTCTTTGATCTCTCTCAGACAAAAACTCATAAAGAACCAGACACCATCAAACATGTCCAACTTCAACACAGCTCGCTGAAACATTTATATGATCATACATTTCTAACACAGTCAATTGTTTTTCACTTTTAAAACTTGTCCTACCCCTACTGAAAATAAATACTGAATGCGAAAGTTGCAGACACTGTTACATTAACCACTTCCTGCTGGGGCATTTATCTATGTTGATGTTGCTGAAAGGGATATTTATCATTTTTTTTCTGATTTCAAAATTCCTTAAAAATTCCTATCTTCATTTAGTGGACACTTACAAACACGTGAAGGCATGTCTGGTGTCCACTCTAGCCAGACAGACAAAATCTATCGACGCCTGAGTATCTCAGCCAGGCCTGCAGCCTTGTAAAAAGAGCCCAGATTTTGTGGTGTTACGTAATATTCTTTCGTTCACGAACCTGGCTCAGTGCACTGCTGACCTATTTTCAATAGGGGCCAGAGTAGCATGCAGCGGTGCTGTGTGGCTCATCGCTGCGGTAGTGCAGCGCTTTTGTCCTCAGTGGAAATCCGCTCGTGCTAAATGCCCCAAACTGTGGTATACGGTATACTGTTTCAAAACAAGGCAAGATTATCTTGAATTTTGAGAGTGAAAAAATGTCGACAATGCCCAGCAGCCTGGTCTTTTGTTCCGAGTACGGTCTTTTGCTACAAGGCCCTGTTCCCTTTGTCCGAGTTCAGAGACCCCGGCCATGCATACAAAGCATACATGTACAGATCCGGTGTCCCTGGCAGGAAGTGGGTAACATGCACGTCACACAGAAGGTGAGATAATGCATCTTGTGGACTGTATGGACTTTTATAATACATCGTGGGACTTGCCCACAAATGAGCCCATGCAAGATTCATCTCTCCTCAGTTTCCTAAGTACATTTGTTGGTTGCCAAATAATGTCTAATTAATGTACTCACGTCTAATCTGTGTTTTGTCCACAGCATGCAAGTGTTTGTTAACCTGTTCCACTTGGTAGAAGTTGTTGAAGTGCTGTACAAAGCCTGCCATGTTGCGGACCTTTTCTATATCACTGAGACAAGAAGACAACAACATGTTACCCTTTGTTTTATTTCCTTGGATAAAGTTAAATTGAACTGGGTTGCACTGGATGCTGTAATGAGATGGACAGGAATCTGGGTGCAGACTGGGTGAAGTTGCTATCAGTGTTGCATTTGAGTCTATCACAAATCCTTTCACAAATCCCTTCACAAGTCCAGTCACAAGTCCCTTCACAAGGTCAGTCATAAGTAACAGGTGGAACAATGACAAAAGAATGCATTTGTCACAGCTCATTTGGCAATAGCTTGTGAATTGCCTCTCGACAGAATGACTTGTGATGGACTTAAAGGGATTTACAGGGACTTGTGATGGACTCGAATAGAACACTGGTTGCTACTGTTTCTAAATTTATTTCTGTTAATTTAAGATGGAAACAGAGCTGCATTCTGTCTGATGATGGAGTGTTTTCTGATCTAATTAAACTTATTTCTACTGGTTTATTATCCAATAGCATGCCAAGGTAGCTCTTTAAATTTTAATAAAATACACAGGTTTTGTTTCTTTATGTTTGGGTTTTTCACTTTTAAAAATGTCTAATTACGTTGCGCATCTTGTCATTTTTCTTTAAGGGGTCATATTAAATGCACTGGGTGTTTTCTTAAAGGACAGAATTCATCAGAATAGAGGGTTTGCATAGCTGCCATCTTGCAGGCCAGTGGTTTTGCTCCACAGAATATGCACAAAGGAGGTATTCCTGCAGAACAAACGAACTGCCCTACAACATGGCTACCACGCAGAGCCTCTATAAGAAGACACAAAGTCTGTTTCTAAAAATAATTGCAAATTACCTTGGATTCTGAATGAAGCCTTCTTGGCTTAGCTTCTGTTGGACCCGTAATTTCTGTACCTCCAACCAAACATCCCAGTTGAACAAGTGAATGTCTGCAAAGACAAACAGAGCAACACAACAAGGCCACTGCATTCGTGAGTTTCTCCAATGATGAGTCAGGCATACAACTGGGAAGACTTAAGAGAGAAAAAGGAAACTCCAAACTGCAAAAGACTTTGTGCAGTGTTTATAATGACATGAACGGGAAGCAAAAACAATAAGTTGCATGCGAGATAGTTACTTGATAAGCTGTTTCTTCCTTACCGTCAGGGAAAAGAGGTTGCAACTTTTGGGTCCTGGAGGACAATAAATGTTCATTGCAGTCGTCCAGACGAAACAGCAGCTTGAGAGTGACTACGACATAGGTCAGAGCCAGACATTCTGGACTTGCAGGACTGCCTTTCGACAGAGCCGTTTCCAACGTGAACAATGGAACCTGGAGATGCAAACGATGGACACACTGACATAACTCATCTACAAGAGAAAAAAAAGAGGAGCATTACAATTTGAAAAACGTCTACAATTATCTTAACAGTTTTCAGTTCCACAAAAGGTTCCAACCGATCCTTCTATTTTCTGATTAGCTGATTAAATTCAGATTCACAAGTATATTTCTCAACAAGCAGAGACAACCGTCTCCTCAAAACTAAAGCCAAAGGTGATTCATGTAACACACATTTTAGAATTCAGTATCAAAAATGTCTGCACTGTTTGCTCTTTCTCAAGGACTAACTTGGTAGATTGAGGGTGTGGATCACCCTGAATATGATGAAGCTCATCTCTGTTGAGCTCAAGCTTTGCGGCGTAACATCCAACTTGGCAGATAATTCCTTGAGGAGGCTAAACACATAGTTGACGTCGGGCATGAACTGATAATTTGGTAGAGAAAGAAAACCAGTAAACACTACTGCACCTCCTTTACTTCAAGATGTAGACACAGATGGAGAATTCACATGGAAACTACACATAAATATGCCAAAACAAGTGTAAAGGGTAAAAAAAAAAAGCTTTTTACTGTGGATTCTTTTCACCAAAGACCCTGGTGAAATACTTTCTTTTATAGGAGAGTAGAAAACTAGGTCTGAATCTCATGGCTGGGGTTGGCCATGGCAGTCCCTAGCAAGTATAAGACACATCTCCATCACTTTTTGCCCTTTTATTGCCAAGGGAAAAGTTAAGCGTGACATCCATGCAAATGCCGATCCAAACAGTCGATTTGAAGACAGACTTAATAGAGTCTGTACTTACCACCAACGGATTACAGAACCTCCCAATATCTTTGATGCTCAAAGTCTTGGAGATGTGCTCTGGAATGACGTCAGCGGTTGACCTTAATGGGAGATGACCTTCACGAACCCATCTGATTAGTGGAAGATTCACATCAGCATTGATCAATATATAGATTAATGGATCAATCAATGAAGAACAAATGCAAGAAAGTGGTCCTTTTATCAAGCCAGTAAGTACAGTATAAAGCCAGGATAAGCCAGATACAAAAAGTTTTTACTAGAAATGAGTATTCTTGGAATTAGAAATCAGTCTGTGGGAAAGAGGGGTTCAAAATGGTCAGAAGGCAGAATGGAGTCTGGGTATAAGTACCCCTTCAACAGTAAACTAAGGAAAGTCTGGGCCAGCCACCTGGTTTGTATTTCCATGAAATAGAGGACTAGCCACCCACTTCCCTTGATATACATGTAAGTACATTAA